TAAAATTTAGCATATAGATAAAAATAAAAAATAAATAAAAATAATAAAAAAAGAAATTTATCTTAATATTTAATAAATTACCCGGACATCGCACGAGCACAAAACTAGTTATTCATAAATCTAAACTATTAAATCACACAAGGACAAACTTAAAGGCTATAAAATGGGGCATATAGGTAACAAACATTTTAAGGATATAATTATCCTCACACTATTCATAAAGTGCATTATCATACTTTTTAAAAGGTAAGGAAGGAAAAATGCTACTCCGTATTAGAATTTTATTGTAAAAATTAACATAAATAATCCCAGCTATTGACCACCTTCTCATTTTAATCCCAACAACACTTTAACTCAAGATAATCCTAACTATTAACTTACCTTCCTCACATTAGTCTCCATATTTGGATAACCTATTAAACAGGTTAAAAGCATGATGTGTTACTTTAGATTGGTTTGCTTTTAAAATAATAATACAAAAAAAAAAAACCCTTCTTCCCTAACCTCTCTCCCTTCCCTATATTCCTGCCCTCCATAGCCTCCATACTCTACAAAACTGCCTCCACCCCCCACAAAATTGTTCATCTCCTTGAATTAACAGCAAAATACAACCCCTCAAAAACTTAAAAAATTAAGAAAAAAGGCAAGTTGTGGAGTTGGGCATAGCAACGTCACGGTGTAGTTGCCATTAAAGGTTAGCTGGAGAAAATGGGTCGGACCTTTTTTAGTCTTCTTTTTGGTCAAATTAGGCTAGGAAATGAACAAAAATCATATACTTTTGCTTTAATTATCACATTTCAGGAGTTGTTAAATCCTAATCTAATCCTTAAATTCAAATCATCATTACAGAAAAATCAAAAATTCCGTCAATTGCACTATCACAACTTAATTGGTAGAATAAATCTACCATTTTCTAGTTTAAATTCAGCAAATTTTCAATTTTTGAGAAGCAGAGGAGAAAGAGGGGATTAAATTGCATATGAAATCACATTGCAAACTTCGTTGCTTTTTATCTTCAAGAAGTTAGATGGAATTTGGAATGGTATTGTTTTGATAGTAATTGTGCAATACCGCAGATGTTTCCCTTTAAGTTTAGAAGTGAACATCCAAAGCAATTAACTATGAAGTACGGAGTAGTATGCAAGAGAAGGGGTTGATTGGGCCGCTATTGGAGTGGAATGGCAGTGCTAAGGTTATGGAAATGGTGGAGGGAGAAAGAAAGGGTGAAATGTACAGAAAAGGAAGAGGATTAAAAATATTAACCGATATCATAGGTAACCGGTAAGAGAGACTATTTTAAGAAGGGGCACCCAATAGTTAGGATTATTTTAGATTAAATGATAGTTGAAATTAATTTAAGAAGGACATTAATAGTTTGGATTATTTTTGTTAATTTTTCCAATCTTAATTTTATCCTCAATAAACTTATAATATTTCATTTATATCAATAATTATAACTTTTCTTTGTAAAAGAAATAGTAATTATAACTTTTCAATAAATATTGAAGGGTTAACTTTAATTCACATTTTAGTTAATACTACTATATACTACTACAAAGACTAATGTTATTATATAAAATTGCTAGATTAATTTTCAATATGGACTATAATTAACAAGTTGAAAATAATTTTACAAATAGATGATTGAAGAAATCAATGGTCAAAAGAGTATAATTACAAACTTAAAAGTTAAAATTGTACAACTAATATATATATATATATATATATATATATATATATATATATATATATATATATATATATATATATATATATATATATATATATATATATAGGGGAGGGATCCGGTAAGAACCCCTCCTTATATAAGAACCCTAGTTATATAAGAACCAATCTCAACCGTAGGATTAAGTAATTTTGGACGGTTAATATTAAAACAAGTATCCTTCCTCAAACACCTAACCCACCGTCCAAAATTTTCTCTCTCCTCAAACTTTCAAACCTATTGTCTTTCTCTCTCCTCAAATCCCAATTTCGAACACAAATTCCTGCAATTTTTTGTTCAAATTTTACATAAACAACCTAAATTGCTCAAATTAGGTACGTTCTTTTTTCGATTTTGTTCAAATTTTCAAGAAAAACGCATGATATTCAAGTAGATTTTTCGATTTTGTTTTTGCGATTTTATTTTTTGCGATTTTTATGATTTGATTTTTGCGATGTGATTTATGCGATTTTAAGGTTTGATTCATGAATTCCGCATGAGACAAGTCGATTTTGCATTTTTCTGATTTGATTTTCATTTATTTTCGGCAATTTAGGGTTCAAAATTCGGCGATTTAAGAGTTCAAACTACAGTGATTTTAAGGCTGGAAATATTAGGTAATTTCAGTGTTACTCTTGATTAGTATTGTTTGATTTTTTTTCGTCATTTTACCATTTTTTGTGCGATTTGTTTGTGGTTTTGTTGGGCGATTTTTGAGCCATTTTTTAAATTGCTGTTGGTTCTTTGTTGGTGCTGAAATCATGTGCTCTTAACTTCAGTCAGTAAGCTAGTTGACATCTAGGAGTTAGGATGATGGATGGTGGAAATTATGATTTTTGGTAATGTTATGATGGGATTTTTGATTGGTAAAAGTGAGCAACTGAGCACATTGGTTGATGATTATTACTGGGTTTTTTTTAACGCAATTGAGTAAATTGTGATGATTAGCTGAATAGGTATAGAAAGTGGGCTGATGAGTTACAAAAAAAATTGTAAGGAGGGTCTGGGGTTATTTTGGGGTTTGTACTTGGTTGATATAGGGGCAGGTTTCTTGGATGTTATTTCTCCATTATCGTCCTACATCTTCGGTGTTGAAGCACGTTTTTGTTTAATGCAATGGTTTTGTTGTCTTATGTGTGGTGCTGGTTTGATGGTTTTTAAGTTTTTATTGGTTTCTAGTCAATCAGATTGGGGAAAATAGAAAAAAAAAATGTCAAGATGGAGGCTTTGGGATGAAATTTGACTTAATTCTGGCAGTAGAGGAGGGATGTAAGGGTGTTTAGCTTTTGACCTTTCTGTGGTCTTAAGGTCTGTTTTATGAGATGGATTCTTCAGGTTGAATAAATAGGTTGAGTGAATACCTAAATGCAAGTGAGCTTTGCTATTTGAAGGGCACATTTTTGTAATTAAGTGCAGTGTAATAGTTGTACTTTGTAAACTATATGTTAAATTGGTTCAAATGTTCCTAAACGATGAGTCTACTTATATGGTTCCCTAATCGGAGAGGAAAAAGGAAATACATTTGCTGTCCTAGTGCTCATATGATTTCAGCAGTCTGTTTGGGTTTCTCTAATGTTGGAACTACAATAGTACAATGTACGGATTATTAATTATTCTAGGAAAACTCCCATTATACTAGTAATATAGCATTATCTTTCTTACCATATTAGGCATATTCCTTGTATGTTTCAAATCTTGCAAAAAAACATTTGTTTAACACATGCCAAAATATTATCACTTTGTAAATATACTTCCAAGTTTGTAGTTCGTAGTTAAATTAAACTTTATAACATAGGTGTAGAATATACGAACAACTTTAGAACATAGGAAAAATTTGGAACATAGTAAAATTTAGAACATAGGAAATTAGAACATTGGGAAAAAAAAATTAGATCATAGGAAAAAAAATTGGAAATTTAGAATATTGGGGAAAAAAATAAGAGCATAGAAAATAAGTTTAGAACATATACTAAAAATTTAGAACATAGGGTGAAAAAATTTAGAACATAAGGTGAAAAAATTTAGAACATAGATAGAAAAAATTTAGAACGCAAGGAAAAAAAATTAGAAAATTGGTAGAAAAACTTTTGAACATAGGATAAAATTTAGAGCACACGGAAAATATTTAGAGCATACGGAAAAAATTTAGAACATAGGAAATAAATTTAGAACATAGACAAAAAAATTTGAATATAGGATATATATTTAGAATATGGACAGAAAACTTTAGAACATAAACAATAAAATGTATAACATAGGAAAATAGTTTAGAACATACATATATTTAGAGCTTAGATTGAAAAATTTAGAGCTTAAGCAATAAATTTTAGAACATATGCAAATAATATTTAGAACATATGATAAAACCTATTAGCTCAATTGGAAGAGCACTATGCAAATGCATAGAGGATGTAGGTTCAACTCCTACATAGGTTATCTTTATAAATAACTAAAAAACTTCAAATGTTTTTTTTTTGAAACAAAAAAAAATCCAATAAAACTAATTAAATTAGTACTAAGTTATATGAGCAGAAAATAAGTAGACTAAATTTAGAACATAGGAAAAAAAAAACTTTAGAACATAAGTAGACTAAATTTAGAACATAGGAAAAAAAAAAAAAAACTTTAGAACATAATTAGACTAAATTTAGAACATAGGTAAAAGAATATTTAGAATATAGGAAAAAAAAAACTTTAGAACATAGGTAGTAAAAATTTAGAACATAGGAAAAAAAAAATTTAGAACATAAGTAGACTGAATTTAGAACATAGGCAAAAGGTAAAAGAATATTTAGAACAAGGAAAAAAAAAGTTTAGAACATAGGTAGAAAAAATTTAGAACATAGGAAACAAAACTTTAGAACATAAGTAGACTAAATTTAGAACATAGGAAAAAAAATTTGAACATAAATATACTAAATTTAGAACATAGGAGTAGGCAAAAAAAATTAGAATATAAAAGAAGAATTACAGAAATGGCATTACTAAAGGATCATTTTAGATGGTTGGATCAAAACTAATAAACGGCTGAGATTGGTTCTTATATAAGATTGGGTTCTTATATAGAGGAGTGTTCTTACATGAGCCTTCCTATATATATATATATATATATATATATATATATATATATATATATATATATATATATATATATATATATATATATATATATATATATATATATATTTTTTTTTTTTTTTTTTTTCTCCAGTGGTGTTAAATGTAATGACACCACAATGTGGGTTGTAACCTATCTAAACTCACCTATGTAGGGTTTTTTTTAGCACAAAAAATTGAAAGTAGAGATGATTTCTATTCCAAATATTATTTAATAATTACACTCCATGGGGGGGAGGGGGCAATTTGGAATTTGTGTAGTTTATCCTAGAGCCTTTGACAAATAGTTTTGCCCCAGAAAACTGAACTAAAAACCCTCTTTTCCTCTAATAATTTCTCTCTACAAGATTTAAGAAACATATATATGTTATTTCAAGAACACCAACCAAATAAGATATGTGCATCTAAGTCTACCAAAAAGAACTTAAGAAAAAAGAAGAAAGAAATCCCTTTTATGTACTTGTATCAATATATGGGAAAAATGGCTATGGAAAAGAAAAAAAAAATCACTCCAGGGGTACTCATCTTCTATTATTCAAAATTGCCGCCATTAATCAATTCAGCACCAAGTGATCAAACCTGCAACAGAACATCCATCAGCAGAGTAATAATGTTATTTAAGATGATACCCTAACACAACATTTCTAAATCAAATAAAGGAATTCGTAAATTTTGCAGTAAAAGGCAAATTCCCTAAACAATCAAACTGGGTTATGAGCACTATTGACATATCATCCCATAAAAAGTGTTTTAGGGAAAATTTTTACCTGCTGGTTCTCACAACCGAGTGCTGGTAGCAAGGCAGCATGAATACCCCAAAAGAGAAATGTTAACTGCTTTCCTTGAGTAAATAATTTTTTACTGTATATGTACAAAAAACGAACATCCCCCATGCTCCTCAACTGATGATGTAGAACAAAAGGTTTAATAATAAGAAAAATATAACAATAAGATGATTAAAAAAAAAAAAATAGGGCACCACAATCTGCTGTTAATTTGAAAATGCTCTACATACCTTGGTTGTTTCCGGGGATATGCAATTAATCTCAGTCAAATAATCCTTTCACAATTACCCATTTTATCTTCTATACATGTTTTGGTTTAGATCCTATATATGCTTTGAAGCAAACTGAGTGACTTTACATCATACACCTGTCAGAGAAGATAACTCATAAGCCCATTTGACAAACTAATCACTTGCTCTCAAGTCTCGATGCATTTAAGGAAAGAAAACACGTACCAAAAAAAAGGTATTTGGGATCTGAAATATATATGCACCAGAAATAGCTCCCCTTAGAAAAACTCAGCTTCACTGCTCTGATGAATGGAACTGCGAGTTCAAGTTCATCATTAAGACTTGATAGACTCCATTGCTTGGCGCACCAGATGTAAAAGACCATCTACATCATGGAAGCTGAAATCCAGAACACTTTTAATAGAATTTATGCCATGTTCATTCCCTGACTGTGAAAAGATTGGCTTTGCGGCTGCAAAAGCACTTTGTGACCTTCTGGATGCATCCATTGCAAGATTTACATCATGCGTCTGCAATCAAGCAAGAGCCTATTAGACTCTAGATAAAGTTGAGCAATTGAATGAAACATACGTAAATTCTTAGGACAATCACGATTTTGTTGGGCAGACCTCAAGATCATAATATCAGGATCCACTATCAATTCCTGTATTCTGGTTATAATATAGTACCAAACCCAACAATTTAACCTCCCATAGGTGGAGAAGAGACAAGAGGGGTGGGGAAGAATTCCATGATCATAACAGCAATAAACAAAAACTGTATATATACACACTGATCAACTTCTCCCCCACTTTCGAAAAGACCCCCAATTTTCCCCTTAGTTCAGAAAATACCTCCGTTCTATTCATATTTTAGCATAAAAGCATATTATATAGGGGAAAGCTGAGGATGGTAGTTCATATGGAAATGAATATTATACGGAATGTACACTATGCACAGTTTGCAGGCAGTGGCTGTCTCAGATATGGCACACATACAAAGTCAAGCAGCCGCATGAAGTTTGGCCTGTTTCCAGCAGAGACAACATGACTTCGATGATCCATTGCAGAATGTCCATCCTTGACTGTATCTATGGCAGCTTGATTTAAATTGTCAATATCAGAAGCAGATGATGATGGAGACTCCACTGTGAATAAACGAGAGATACTTAACATTAGCAAGCTGAACAAAATCCAAGAGAAATGTAGATACTATCCCACTAAGAGTAGGAAGACCCGCAAAATATATATATATATAAAATATAAAAAATTAATCATCAGCAGCCAGCAGTCTACAGCAAGCACAGGCCAAAGAATTTAGAATCTACCAGTCTCATTACCCTGAGGAGCAGCTCTTACAGCCATTTGCAGCTCCAGACGATCCCTGCTCGCAGCAAGATCATTACTATATACCACTCTCATATAAGCTACCTCCATACATTTGTAGGCCAAAGCAGCAGAGGCCATGTCATTGCATCGTTCGTATTCAAGGGCACAATATCTGCAAATCACAATGAATAAAACTACTTATCAGAAACATCCAAAATCAGGCAGATGTGACTACTTGTACGAAAATTTGCTGATCTATGATTCCCAGTTAAGAACAAATACTAGTACATGTATTATTGCCACATAGTCACAAGACTCACAACCAAACATAACATAGTGCATCAAAGAGAGTTAAGTAGACAACTAAAACAAATTAAAGGGAGTCTTTTTCAGCCACTTGAACATCGACAGCAAATGCAATGTAGCCTAAAGTATCATATACAAAAAAAAAAGAGTGAATATGAACTAGATCAAGTACAAACATCCAATTAATCCCTCAGGGTCCGAACAGTCTATGCAGCAAGAGAGAGATGCAGCTTGCTTTGTCATGCTCAAATCAATTGAATCTCAAACTATGATAAGAAAAAGGGAGCAATGGAAATTCACACAAAAGTAAACATACTCGCATAATCTTGCAGTACTGGTATACACATCATTTGGTGACATCTCCCCACTTCTACTTTGATTGTTGCCAGGTTCTAACAAAGATGCTCCATGAAGAAACTTTAGTGCTGCCTGAAAGAAGATGCCAGTACTTTCTAGACCTGACCCAGCAACCTTAAGCAAACCGACCAATAGTGAGAAAAATTGTTAACTAATGTAGGTTTTAGATTTAAACAACCATACATAGTGGGAATAGACAACACACCTTCATACGATTAGCAGAATGTTTAAGATCAGTTGCCTCTCTCAACGCAGATTTAGCAGCCCGATGGAAGTTATCTTTGTTTCTAGAACTTGAAGCCTCAACGTCATTGGGCACTTGCCCAGTATGATGTGTTTGTCTCAAACTACCACGACCAGCCGCAACCTGCCTGAAGGGAATTCCATTAACATCTTCATCTCTCCCACCATTAGATCCACTACCTCCAATTTCAGGTACACTATGCAAATTATATGATACTTCCTTTTCCCTATCAATCTTGGAAATATGTGACTTTCCTTTCACAGAATTAGTTCCATCAAAATGCAACTTATTTGGGGATTTTATTATCTGACTTTCAGCAACCAAATTCTGTTGTGAAGTCGATGTTCCCTCATATGTGATGTCCGCTTTACCACCTCTATCCTTGTAATCTTCGATTTTAGGTTGGGTATCTATTGCATGGGAATATCTCCCAGATGAAACTTTCTTACCAAATTGATCCTCATCAACTGCATCAGACAAGACACCAGAATTCCTAGAGAGGTTAGATCTTCTATCTCTATACCCGTCAATATGAGGTGCAAACTCATTGGCAGCACTTTCTGCTCCAGCTTTCAGCCGCTGATCGCTATATAACAAAGATTTCTTACTTGTCCCTTTATCAGGATTAGTCCGAGAAACCTTTTTTGGAGAGGATGAAATTGACCCAACCGGAGAAGATTTCACTTCACGCACTTTTGATTTAACTTTGCGAGAAATCTTTGAAGAGCTAGAGGTGGTTGCATTGTCTGATAAACCTAAATCAAGAGCCATTTCAGAAGATGTTCTACCTGCTGGAGTCTTTCGAGAAACCCTGTCCATATGATAATGCTCTGAAGGAATGCCATCCGACATACCTCCCTTGCGTCGCCCACTATCACCAGAACCACCAAGATTAGATTTAGCATCAAGAGTCGGAGTCCTCTGTTTTCCCTTGTCTGCACTACTCTCCATTGCCTGAAAGTTTGAAAATTTTGACTTCTTCTCTTTCCTGTGTGCATCCCAATTACTCACTAAGTGTTCTCCATTGCCTGAAAGCTCTACTGAAGGATTAACACGTTGCTGTTTGTCCTTCAATTTTCTCTTTGTCCCAGACACATTATATATCTCATTATCCTTGGAAGTTACATCATTTTGGGCCCTGTCTTTAGCTTTCACAGGATAATCTTTTGAGCTGCCCTTCACAAAATCCTGTGGAACACTAGGAAACTCTTCCATAGGTTGCTGATGCACTCTCTTGATTTTCTTAGAAGCTCCATATGCCTCAACATCTGCTACCCTCTTCTTAACAATATTTGATGTCTTGCCATCACCTGTGGATGTACATTAAATATTTAAATAAAGCTGCATATGCGCAAGAAATATCACATCTGAGAACCAAGCAGAAACCCTCTTAACAATTGCATATCTACAAAACGGAAGGAGGAAAGGCGCAAAAACAAATCTAGCAAACCACATTTAAGTTTGTTTCCGTAGTAAGGAATTAAAAGGGTTGTTCATATACCCACACTCCCACAGCAACAAAACAGAGCACAATTCATTTCAAATACACGCGACATAAAATTCATTAAAAAAAATAGGAACACATTGAGATTCAACTGTGAGAAAATCTTTCATAATCTAGCAATTTAGCTTTCTAACTCACTGGTTGTCAAATAGTAGTTGGGCCAACAGCGACCTGCTAAACATCTAGGCGTTTTTTTTCACATTTAGTAAGTAAGAAAATAAAATTGATACACTGATTGGCGTTTGGTAATAACAATCAGTCCACAATCTAACAAGTTCTACAGTGTTCAGCATACATATCCTGTTGTATACGTACTCTTTATTAAGTTTGTGTGTGTGTGTTTTTTTTTGGTTGGGGGGGGGGGGGGTTGTGTGTGTGCGCGCACGCAACATTAACATGAACATTGAAATTCCAACAAATATTAATAAGGAAAAATTGTCAAAAATAATACAAATTTTGAGCGGTCCGCCAAAAACAAGTCAATCTTTTGATTATTTCTAAATATTACAAACTTTGGGGGATGTCCGCTTTAAACAAGTTATGACCTGTTGGTGACTTGTTTAACATGTTATATGGGACACGTGTCATCGTTTTATTGGTATGACAATTTTATTTTTTTTTACATCTTTTTTAAATTATTTAATGTTTTTAATTATTAAAAGATTTAAATAATATTAATTATTATTATAAAAAAAACCACCCATTATTATAAAAACTCCTTTTTGTTTTTTTGAAAGCATTATTATATATAATTATTATTTATTTATTTATTTATTTAAAATGAAAAAAACCTTTACAAAAAAAAAAAAAAACCACCCACCACCACAGCCCAGCCACCACCCCCTCCCCACCGTCCGTCGCCGCCCAGACTTCCTTCATCTCCCTTGCGCCGGCCGGCCGGCCGACCCTACCCCTTCCCTTGCCCCGATTCGACCCCTCTCCCCTTCCCTTGCCCCGATTCGACCCCCCTCCCCTTCCCCCTTACCAGAATGTCGAACCCCCTTCCCTTCCTCCATCGTAAGCCGACGCGACCCAAACCTGATATCCCATAGTCCAAACCATCCCCAATTCGTTAGGGGTTTAGGTTTCGGGTTTGGGTTGGGGGTTTTGGGTTCCGGTGAGGGGGGATGAGGGGGGAAAGGGGTTGTGTGGGGTAGCAGGGAAGGGAAAGGGAAGAGTGGAGCTCGTCGGCCGGCTAGCGCGTGGTTTGGTGGCGGTGGTTTGGTGGCTGTTGGAGGGGTCGGAAAGGTGGTGGTGGTTGGGTTTTTTTTTTAAAATAATGATTATAATAATAATAGGAGTTAATTAATTATTTTCTTTTTAACACATAATTAATTAATTATTTAGTTAGGATTTATTTAATATTTAATTAAGAGTTAAATAAGAAATTAACCATGCTTATAGTTTTGATTAGAAGTAAATTATATTGTTAAACAATTTTATTAAAAAAAAAAAAAAAAAGTTAACCGGTTATATAAGTTGTAGGTAAATTATCTTGTTTAAGTGGACACCCCTCAAAGTTTGTATTATTTAGAAATAATCAAAAGATTGATTTGTTTTTGACGGACCGCTCAAATTTTGTATTATTTTTGACAATTTTTCCTATTAACAATCCACAGACAAAAGTAGCAGACGAGCACCGATTAGGAACGATGCTGCGGCACTTGATTAGTGGCAAGTAATACGATCTTTAAAGAGTAGAGAAGAGACAATTTTAAAGAAAAGCAACGAAGAAGTCTCCTCCAACTGAAAATACATACAAAATCTCAGATGTATTCATTAAAGAAGATAATCAGTAAAATGAGTCGTCAGTGGTTCTCTAAAACATGGTTTCCACACAAGGCATTTCTACTTCACATTAATTTGGGCATTCAGTAAGGCTTTAAGGCGAAGACACAATAGGCCATTGTTCTTCCATCTGCCAACAGCTAGGACTAACAACTGAGTTTAAATAAGAATGATTAGATGCTTACCACTCTTCTGAACAGAATCCAACTCCCAAGGAAGTTTTTTAAGATTCTTCATATTCCTTATTTCACCGGAGCGCTGCTGATCCTTCTTGACAGGATGATGCAAGTCTTGAGCACCACTTCGTCGTGCTGCCTCTATTTCTGTTTTCACCAAATTCTTCTTTTTGCCTCCACTGGGCAAAACATCAAAACTAGGAGCTTGACTGGCAAGAACAATATTTGGGGCACTGGCTATTACAGACGCATTTGCATCTAGATAAGGTGGCTGATTATTCTGAATCATAGAAGCAGGATCCAGGGGTATATACGATGCATACAGAGCATTAGTTGTCTCATCCTCAGTGAAACTGCACTTGTTCATCCCAGGCCTAGAAAACAGTAATATGCCATGTGAAGATCAGCCAGAGATACATGAGGGGAATATTAAGCTTAAAGATGACTAGTCAATGTAAGAAAATTTTAACACTTTAAATTTTAAAAATGTATGTACTCTTATAATGTCTTCAGAACTAAACTGTTAAGTCTAACCAACAGTAGAGGCAAGAGCAAGCACTGGAGGGGAGATAGCGTCCTGTAAGTTTCATCTATCAACTAGAACTTTCTTTGGTTCCTCCAAATTGCAACACTTTGACTTTTGCACTATTCACAAACTAGCTTTAACTCTAAGTAATATATAGGAAACAATTGTCATGAAAGATGTTGCATTCATCTCAATGTATTAAAATTATAAATTACACTAATACTATATAATTAAAGATATTAATGGTCAAAGTTGACCTGTGGCAAATGTGTCGGTCAAACTAATACAATCTCAAAGAAACGGAGAAGTATATCTCTATCCCCATACCACATGAAAAGACGTCTAAAAGCATTTTAAAGTTCATCATTGAAGCAGTAACAGTAATTTTATCATAGGAATGGAAGCGACCTGAATACAACATATTTAAGATGAAAACTTACAGCCAAGTAAGCATGCTACAAGTCCATTTCATATTTTCGAAGGAACCTGCGCTCATGCCTAAAGGAAGAAGCCGCCACTTATGACACTTGTCACATTCAACCCAATCTTCCAATGTCATCACTGGAGGATTCTCTACTGGCGGCACATCCCCAACAGAAACCTTTTCTGTCATGTAGTTAACACCATGGAGATCTCCCAAATTAGGTCCACCAATAGCAGCAGAACTAGTTTTATTACTGCTAGACTTGTCCTTCAGCTTTGTTGTGGGAGCTTGTGGCCCTTGTTCTGAAATTTCCATCACTAATTCCTTTGAGTTCAGCTCTTTTCCTTTTTTCCTTCGATTTGCCTTATCAACAACCTCAGTATTATTTCTCGTATCCTTACATAAATCAGTGCCACCCTTTTTACTTTTAGAAGGAATGTTGTTTTTAAAAATGACTGCCTCATTTTTTGATGCTGAAGAGCTAATAATTGAGCTTCTTGGTGCCTCAGTGGCAGAGACCCCACCAATCTGTCCATCCTGTAATTTTTTCTTGACCACAGAAGACGGATTTTCCTTTTCACTAAGCAATACTTGCTCTGTCGGCAAGTGAGTCATTTCCCTGAAACGTGACTTTTGCTTCAAAGATTCAACCGCATTATCGTATTTCATCTCCTGAGAAACATCACTGTACTTACCATTTCCTTCATCTTTCATAGAAAGAAAACATACCTCCACAATTCCATTTTCCTTGCTATACACACCAGCCTCAATAGAGCATACTGAATTTGGAACTTCGTCTTTTACTTTGTCCAATGCCATGCTCTGTTGTTTTAGAAACTTATTCACCTCATTCTCTCTTCGAGCTTCACTCCTCTTTTCTGTAATAGATTCAGCTTTCGAAATCAATATGACATTTTTGTCCTTGGGTTGTGCTAAATCAAGCACTTCCTCTTTCACTTTATCCTTCAAAATGTAATTTTGTTTGGAGAACTTCTTCACCTCATCATCTCTCCATCCAACTTCATCCCTCTTCTCTGTAATGGATTCATTCCTCTGAACAAAATTTAGATTTTTTTCCTTCTTCATCTCCCCTCTTAAGGTAATAGCATTCACATCATCCTCCATCACTTCATTCATTTGTGCTGAATCAGGTTCCTCTTTTGCCTTAGGCCTAGCTACACGGAACGGTTTCATTGGGTTGCCAATGTCCTCACCCAAACACCCAACTTCAGTTCTCTTATTGAACACAGTAGAACGCTTTGAGCTGATGCTCTTGCTCATCAAAGAATCACGTTCATTCTCTTCAGAATAAGCAGCAACTGCATTAATGGAGGCATAGAAGGCAACCTCCTTGTCTGTTGATGCTCCATTATCATCCCTTCTAGTAGCATTCAAGGTACCAAAATTTGCAGGATATTCACAACTCTCCATCAATTCTACAGGTTTCAGACTAGAAATTTTTTGCTTTGATTTCTTCTCCTCACTTGCTCCCTTGTGCTTTGATTTCTTGACCTTACTTGTGTCCTTCACCTTTGCTTTTCTCTCCTTCCTTGCTTCTTTCTTTCCCTTTGAGATCATGCTTTCATGAGAAACATTGGCAGGATCTACTTCCCCAGTCCCTAGTGAACCAGTATTAAGATTGCTCTCAATACCCCTTAAACTAACAAGGTTATCAGGAAGAGGTGAAAGCATGTCTTTCTCCGGGATAGGTAAAGTCGTCATAATCTGATCCAGAGGAACAATAATAGCTTAGCATGAGCAAAAAAAATAACCCAGTAATTTACACATACAGCATAAAAGTGCATTTAAGCAGACCTGGAGAATGAAGGAAGGAGATTCCAAATTCATTTCTTGCAAGCCAGTTGATATCCTATCATTCTCTGAGGGGCTACCCTCAGGAGAGGAAGAAGGGGACATATCAAGACCTAGGCCACTGTAGATAGCAGATTTGTCCAGAGATGAAAGAGTCTCAGATGCCATCTTGACTCGAAACTTCAGGGAGGTATTTTTGGAAACATCCTTCAACGGTTTTTTTGTTTGGTTGTTAGAAGCGACCTCTCCAGAACTTTGAAATTTGGATTGATTGTTCATCAAGGAAGTTCCTGATTCAGACATTGCTTCCTCAGTCTGGTCACCTGAGGAAGGTATAGATCTTATTGGCAGTGAATTCTTAGAAGTAGTTGTTGGGTTATGATGGAAATGCTGCACCACAAGGAAATATGGAAAAAGTTTATAATGAAAGCTAGAATAATAAATGCAAATATAGCATACTGTTCCACACAAATTCACCTCTGATGATATATCTTGGGGAGACTTAGAATTAACATGGTTCTGGCTTCTCTGATTAGGCAAAATAGGAGGGGAACGCTGTTGCATTGGCAAGAATGATCCATAGCCCCCAAATCTTGCACCTATCAAGTTATACAATTGCTATAGAATTACTTGAAAATGTGGACTAGCACAAAGAAAATAATTCCATGGCGTGAAATCTCACCCAGGTTCTCTGCTGAGACCCCACCCATAAACTCCTTCTGGTGATGTCCCAAGATATCTTCAAGCTTCCTGTCCTGCAGATATCCAAGACCACAATATCAAGAATAACTTTCACCTAAATGGTATGGGCCATAGAAAAAGGCAGTTAACAAGCAAGTCACACAATAAAAAAGAAAACATCATGCCAGCTCACAAAGAAACCCGGCAATATAGAACTTAAAATCCGACAAAAAAAAAAAAAAAAAAAAAAAAATCTACCAATATTTCAAACACTAGGTCAAAGGAACCATCCTGATGCAAATCCATGGCAGCACACAAGGTTTTGTACAAAATAAATAAAATTCACATATACATTATTGCAGCTCCTCACATAAATCATTAACAATTATTATCCTAAAATATATTCCAAACTTCAAGTTGTTTTGACTGGAAAATTTCATGAAGAAACACAGCCTATACAAACTTCATTGGATAGACAAATCATAAAAGGTTTTCTTGCTAGACCTTGCTCATTTTATCTTTACAAAAATGGTATGTATTTTAGCTGATTATCTCTATTAATTGGAACAAGATTACCAGCAATTGCCGTTAATAACTAGATCTATGGTGAACGAAGAATATGGCAGATTGCAAGAAGAGGCCCCTTTTCATTTAAAATATTTCAAAGAACCTTGAACGATAAAGAACCCAAAGTGCATCTCTCGCATTGGATTGATAAAAACAGCTAATCGGCCAGCTAATTCAGTGTATACGCTAGCTAAACTCAGTAGGTCAGAGCTGGGCCATTGGTTGTGTTTATAGAATCACATGATATTACAAAAAGGCTCTGTAAAGACCAAGAGCATATGTAGTAAACAATCTGGTCCAACGAAAATAGGCGTAAAATTAAGCGTTTCTCAGAGATTTGATGATAAAACCAATCCTAAGAGCAACCTTAATGTTTACAATTGTATCCTCTTTGACACTTGTTCCAATATGATAAAGCGTGAATGAGAATTTTCAACAGGTGCTGACCATTGATTTAAATTAATAAACTACTATTTCCTGACCATAGAATTCTTCAGTGAGCCTTTGTCTCCACTTCTCCAATGTTCCAGAGATCTAACACCTCAAAGTCACATTTGATTACAGCAGTGATAATTATTATAAGAGTAGGGCATCTCACCCCCTTAGATATTCTGACAGGAGGGGGTAGGGGGTGGGGTGGGGGAGGGGGTTGGAATGCTAAAAATAATACAATAGCACTACGTAAGTATGTATCAGGTTCACTTCTTTTAATGGTATTTTATAACCCACTTTCTCATTAATTCTTAAGGAATGATACAAGGTACTAAAAAGGAAGAAAAGGATATGCGTGGACTGCATAAAGTCTATAAGATTTGAATATGAATACACGTAGATAGAAGACAAGAACAAGGTAGGATGCCGTGGTGATCAACACCGTAAAAAAGCTATTCTCACTTTACAAAACCCAAAGTTTCCAATTATACACTACACTGTGATATAACCTTTTTCATTCATTATTAAGGAAAGGAATGATAAGAGTTAATGTATTCTATGGATATGATTGTACTGCACAAAGCTAAGATGAGAATATGTATATGGGAAGCAAAAAAAAAAAAATAGAAAGGTAGGATGCTGTGGTGATCAAAGCCGTAAACGAACTTCTTGTTTAACAATAACTAAAGTTCTCATTTATACAATACACTTTGATAAACCCAGGGTGTCAACTGAAGGTTGCCTTCACTCTATGCCAATAAACACGTGAGAAACATTTACAACAAGCATATGAATGTTGATCAAGAACAAGTGGAAGATTATTAACACGTTAAAGGGCTGGAGCAACTAAATTCAATAAAGAAGCAGAACCAACATGTTTCTCTCTGAAATATTCAAGTTAGCTAAACAAAAACAAAGGAAGGCACATCAAGAATTTAATTTGGATGATAAATGTAACTGATACAGTAGTTCAATTTATACTTCATCACTGATCTAAATTTCACACTCTCGACATCTAAAGTTCAACTTAAACATCAAACTTGACACGTGAGTTACTTACATGCAAAAGCACCCTCAAAATCATCCTCAGTGATACGAATAATCCCCTTATTCTAGGACAATATCAGAAACCCAATGTAGGTTTCAATCAAAATGCTATGATTAAAATTCCCGGGAAAAAAAAAAAGTGTAAATAAAAAAGAGAGAATTCAAGTGCAAAAAGAAATGACAATGGCGCTTCAATCATATACAATGACAATAACTTACCACCCAAACCACATTACCAATTGAACACGTCCCCTAACCCAAACTACAAAGAGAAGAGAAATGTTGAGTTCATTTACTAAAACTGATTGACGCTGCTAAATCAATGTAATATCAACTATGATCATGCAGTCAGACCGGCTATTTTCACATGCCAACCAAAACCACATTACCAATTGAGCACGTCCCCCAACCCAAATTTCAGAGGGAGGAGAAATGATGAGTCCAATTACTAAAACTAATTGACGCGACTAGATCAATGTAATATAAAAAATGATCATGCAGCCAGACCGGCTATTTTCATATAATTTGTCATCTACGTCTCCAAGCTCCATAAATAAAACACAAAACAATATTGTTCCAACTTCCAGGCATTGGATGAACACGAGACAGGATAATTACAGTCATCAAGATGAATTCCATAAACACCATGTTTCGAATTGTTGATGGAGGAGGCCAAGAAATATAAAAACCTTAAGTTTCAAATCACCCGTTAACATCACTAGAATGATCATATCGAAAATGTCTCAACTTAACGTCTTAACCTAACCTAACCTACTAATCAGGTATTCTATACAACAGACCTACAAAGTTGAAATCGGATTGAAGAAAAACAAAGAATAATTAACAAATTTTAAGCAGAAAAATTTAGCAATAAGTGTAGGCTTACAATGTAAGAGAAATCTTTGTCAGGATCAATGTTTTCATCATCATCATAATCATCTTGAAACAAATAAGCTTCTCCTTCTTCAAGCTCAATGTCTCTCATCTTCACAAACCCCTCCTCAAGAACAGACAAAAACAGGAGAGAGAAAGAAAGAACACCCAACTCAACCTAATAACACCTAAAATACCATCTAAATTCAAGCAGCTAAAATTAATTTCAAAACTTCAAAAAAAAATATTAAATAAAAAAAAAAACCCTAAAATTAAATTCCCCAGAAAAAAGAGAATTGCTTTATTGTTCTCAATCAATCCAAAGAGATTTCAGAAACCCACTTCGGAAATCCAAAACCCAGAAAAACCCATGAAGCAAATCCCTCAGAACTACCATTATAAGCCACAATTCCTTCTTCTACCTAGTAAACAAAAAAATAAGAAAAAAAACCCTAAAAATGTAACCAAAAAGAACAATTAATCAATCAATCAATTCCGAATATATCAAGAAAGCCCAGAAAAGTTAATCAAACTCCTCCAAACCCCAGAAATTTATTGACCCAAAATCATCAATCAAATATATTTCTAATGAAATTTATTAGGAAAAATGAAAATTAAGTGTTTATTCTTAACAAATGCGGCTTTAATTTTTGATTTTTTTTTGTTTTTTTTTTTGTTTTCTGTGTTTGTTCTTCTTCTTTCTCCCTCTAAACTTTCTCTCTCCTCTTTCTCTGTCTAGGCTTTTCTGAGTGGTGTTTCAACAGAGCAACAGGAAAAACACAGAAAAAAAAAATTAAAAACTAAAAAACCAACATTTATAATTATTAAATAAAAAATAATTAAAAATTAAGGTATGTTTTTTCTGGGTGGGTAAAAATAAAAAATTATTCCAGAGACCGACGTAAGCCAAAGATAAAGAGAGGGGAGAGAACTTAATTTGTTAGGAGAATAAATGAAAGGGTAATTTGGTCATTTCATATAGAGTACGTGGACCTACTTAACTATCGACGCCTTAGCCGTTTTGTTGAGGTGTTGTTTCTGTAATATGGAGTGACGAAAATACCCTTGTTGGTGTAGAAGATAAGTGTCAAAATTGATTGTCCTTTGAATGTGATGTATCTCTTTCATTTTGTTTGCTCCTCTTTTGTGTTGATGACTAACCCATTGACATATTGTCCTACTTTGGTACTTGTAGTCTCTCTCTCTGTTGGTTTTTTTTTTTTTTTTTTTTTTTTGGATTTACCATGTTTACTTTAGGTAGGTGGGTTTTATACGTGGTTAGAAAAAAAAAAAAAAAAAAGGAGAAAATTTTGTTGTTTTTTTAGTTGGAGAAAATTTTGTTGTTTTTTTTTAGTTTGAGAAAATTTAGCATAGTTAAGCAGTTACAAGCTAATCTCGCTTTCAAGAATGTAGAAGGATCATCAGTAAGCAAATAGATGAGAGGTAAATGAGATCGATAATGATGTATAACATGTATTCGATAGACCATGTCTAATGTCATGCTTAAACGACAATATAACCCTAACCTATACCTAGTAACCTCCGACCATGTCAAAATCCAAATATTGTTTTTCCCTATATTTTTCGTCTCATTCGACAAGATTCATGGTAGTAAACAGATATTAGACTAACGAGTAGTTGTCAATTGATAGTGGGTAGAGATTTAAGGTAATAATTGATAGTATAAACGTTTGGTAAAAGTAGCGATTGAAATATTAAAATACGATCAAGTTAATTTTTTACGAGAAAAATATCTTAATTTATAAATGTCTTGTGCATAACCCGAGTACAATAAAGATAATTTTTTAATATTAAGTTGTCTCTTTTATATGTATGGGAACCACAATTGACATCTTCATAATTTTACATTGGTTTATGGAATGAAATAAACATGTGGTATTTCCATTATTACGCCAATAGTACATATTGGTAGAGTTTTGTTAAATTTAATAAGTGATTTACTTCATATGTGTATTATTTTTACACTACAATAGTTTGATACATAAAATAAGCATACATTGTCATCTTTATTAACTACTCGTAGCACATATCTTTAAAATAAAGATAAAAATTAGCACATAAATATTTTTTGTATTGTGACATGTAGCAATATCATGGTTGAGAAAAATTTGCAATTATTACTTTCTTTTTTGGCATGAGAAAGGTAATCTCATAAAATAAAAATAAATTATCTAGGCTTTATTCTCTCGACATGCTAAAATCAATAACTTACTACTTTTCGTATCTTGTTGGAGTTAATCCAATTTTTTTTTGTATATTAGGGTGGCTAACGCGCGCTGTAGCTAGCCTTGCATGTTCGGTAAGCTCTTTTGGTTTGAATTTAGTTGTTGGCAACATTAATGAGAAAAAATATATAAGCAAATATTTTTAGGGTATAAAACGTCCTCGTACTATTCTTAAGAGTTAAAAAAAAAAAAAAAAAAAGACAATTAGCATTATTGCAGACAAATAACTAAATAAACATTTTATAAGATATAGTTGTCCAAACATTATTCATAAAAGTTATCTTAAACTTTTTAAAAAGTAGAGATAAACGGTTTCAATGAAAGTTCTTGGTAAATAATTACTAGAAGGCTAAGCTATAATATTGTGTAAATGACCAATATGGGAGTATGAATAATTTATTACAAGTATTAGTTTGAGAAAACTTAGTAATGAGTAGTAAAATTTAATTAGCTTTGATAATATATAGAGAGTAATTTTGAATTTTCCTTCAACTATCACAAATCTCTTTCACTAAAAATCCAAAGATTGACATTTAGGCACATTGAAAATTCTACCCTTCAAAGACGGTGAGTCACTTAGGAGCTAGGACACCAGAAGGTCCAGTCCAGCACCACCCTCCCTTGTCCAATGGAGCAACACCAAAATTAGTCCAACATAATAGATTAATAACAAACTAGGCCGATATACTTGGGACTTTGTTTTTTGGATAGTAGATTTTTCTTTTTTTTTTTTTAAGAACTAGTAGATTAGTAAATTTCGTAGTCCATAGTACATACAAATTCAAGTTACCCAAAAATATTCAAAAGTAACACCATTAATAAATTCATATCAGTATTTTTCCGTTGTAAAATAATACGCCACATTTGATTAGATTAGAGGTCATTTTTTATTACTTGGTAATTAATTTTTTTAAAGTTACATTTGTAGGAATTTCTGTAAGAGAAAGGATAAACATCAAATGAGCAAAGAGAAGAGAAAATAACCCAATTTGTGAGCTATGAAATCATCAAGTTGCACTTCTGTGCTTTGTTCTCATGTGCATCCATTTTTTTTTTTTTTTTTATTTTGTTACATAATACAGTATTTTGTGTTTGTACAATTTATATACGAAGTATTTATTTAATGTACATGGACTATTCTATTTTTTGTTCATAAAAAAATCTATTAACGTTTTAACAACTACAATACTCGTGTTCATCTAAGATTGCTTATATGTACATCCTCCATTTTTGTTTTGCACATCAAGCTTTGTTTTGAAGGAATTTCCTTTAAATAAGTAAACTAAATCTACAATGTTTCATTCTCAGAATGACCTTACTCTAACTCTTCCTCTGAGAGTAACTTAACAGAAAAGACGAGAATTACAATTTTAACATACTAAATTAGGAAAATGATTGCGGATTTGCGGAGTAAAATTGTAGGACAAACTAAATAAGAAATTTGGCATTTTTGGAGACTGAAGAAACTAAACATCGACAAGATATTAAAAGTTGAAACACATTATATATACAGGCATACAGTCACAGGCAACAGGATGTCTACAAGAATCCTGCAAGTAACTATCTAGCATCTTAAACATAAATCTATTGTGTACTACCCTTAAATATCGGTCAGAAAAAATGGTTACATCACTGTATGGAGGAAACTCAAGCTCTTGCACTATATGTTACTTCCGACTAACATCAAGGCTGTTGCACCATATTCCAGTTTTGATCCGAACCAGGATCCCCAAGATTGAGATCAGCACATTTAGACAGCAGATCCTACAAAATCAGCCATCATAATAATTAATAAATCAGGTCTGATAATAGAATCATGCAGGATCAACCTAGAATCCTGTTTAGATATTGGGAATAGATTAGATCATTGGACGCCTAGTCGCCTACAGTCCATATATCTGATATATGTACCTCAGGTAGAGTAAAATTAATTGTAAAATAAAATATTTTATCGCGAAAACTACTTGCTTTCAATTTAGCATAACAGTCACATATATCTACCTCCCCAATGACAGAAGGTAGATATCTACTAGGAATGAGCTGAATACAAATTACATTAGCAAACTACAAAAGCAATAATTAAAAGACAATCATTGGCAAGCATAAAACTACAGTTGTTCCATATCAGTAATTTGTGTTTGATTTCTGACTTATGGAAAATATCAGAAAGTAAAGGGTTACAAAATGATTCATATAAAGCCCAAAACTAATCCCTACATTCAGTTATATACAATAACATTGTTGAGTGTCGCTCAGACTTCTTTGAAAGCTTTCCATACAAAAATTATCGTTAGGACGGTGATGGCAAGTTTTTTTTTTTCAGAAAATAGTTATGTTCCAAAACTAGTACATTACAGTTGTTAGCTTGGAATTACAAAAAATGTGTTGGATTAAAAAATGCTAGCTTTCCATAACTCTGTATCTATATGTATCTTTCAATTTCAACAGAAATTATATCCAATCCACAAATCAACTCAATAAAGTCCTTATGCTTTAGAAACAATTTACACTGATGTCATCATTGTTTATAACTTTTCACTATTAGAGATCCCTCTGTTGGTTAGATTTTTACATACCTGATAATCTGCTGACTTGCCATGGTTTTCAGCCCTTTGCTTCTCAGCAAACTTTGTACAAACCTGATCGACTAAGCAAGACTTGACCACCTTCAAGAAAATGACCACAGTGAAAATTTTGCATCAAAAAAAACCTCATTAGTAAATACCAAAGTAATTCCTCAATTGAGTCACATCAAAGTAAAATTATATAACTTAACATATATACGGGGATCAAAGTAATTTTTCAATTCATCTAAATCGATTTTGATACAAAAGTAGGAAAATACTTAAGACACAAACGCACCTGCAGAAGCTTATCTCTTAAAGTTGGGTTGAGAAATTGGCTAGATCTTACAGATTCCTGATTTAGGCACCATTGCACCTGAAATTTAACAAAAACCCCACAATTGAATAATATAGAATTATAGATTAGGATAAAAACAGTTGATAGAAAATACAACATAAAAAGAGTTTAAGATAATAAAATTTTTGGAAACAACCTTATATGTATAATCAGCACATGAATCATGCAAAAGCCCATGTGAAGCAACTTGAGAATAGTGAGCAGCAGAATTTGCAAGCAAGGCCTTTTCAAATTCATCATAGCAGGTTCCTCCTACTGTTCTTACAATGTCAAAGTACTCCACAACATTCTTAAGTATGTTACTATCAATCTTCTCTCCATTGCGATCCTGATTAATCTAAAATTGACAGAAGAGTTTAAAGACATGCAATAATGCCCAGACTAATAAATCATTAATAAAAGCAAGAAGAGTTGTCCTACCAACGCTATTGCAGCAGGAACTAATTTACTATTACACCTTGAATTCACCTGAAATATATGACAAGTTGAGGTACAGGCTATCAGTCAGGAAAAGGAAAAAAAAAAAGGCCTCTAGTGATTTCAACCAGCAGCAATGATTATACATAAAACAAATTGCCTACCAGATTGTGAAAGCATCTAATAGCTAGCTCCAAAAGGCCAAAAGCTCCAACACGGGGAATATAAAAACGGTCAAGGTAACAAAAGAATCTAGACAGCCACCTAGCCATCAATTGATAATTAGACCATTTCACCACAAGCTCAGTCAAGAGAGCAGCATCATTTTTATCTTCCAACGATGGAAGGACCTGAAAAAAAAAAAGGGCGGAGAACATATCAAACACAGTAGCAAAACACAAACAGCATATAGAAAAGGACAAGTATCCTAAACAGAATATAGGAGTACTGATGACTGATTAATATCATGAATCAACTATTTGAATAAATGAATCTTTTCTAGACATATTCTTTGCTCTATAGACCAACTTTTCAAAGAAAAAAAATCACAAATTAAACACTAAGCTACCACATTCAGTAGCCTAGATTTTCCTAAGTTGGACTCATTATTGACTGTTCATTTACTCGGAGAAGAAATTTGCATGAACAATTAGCTTAGCAAAATTAGTATATGCAAAACCACAGACAGAATATGCCATTATGCCAAAACGAGAATCCCTTAACACTGTCTCTAAAACTTTTACTTGTACTTTATTTTGGGATGATGGATACTTTTATGCCTGGATACTGTGTCTTGGGGTAAAAATAAGAGAATAGTAACCATCATATGTAGTTAAGTTTTAGGGTGAAAAGATACTCCAGGATACAGCATGATATCCAGAGTATTCATTTAATCAAGTGGAATATTGACCTGAATTTAGAACATTGTGTATAAGACCCAATTAATTAAGAATGTACTGTACATCACAGCTTCAACCATTGTGCAAACCAAAGACCACTACAGACCTTGACTAGCAAATTTCTGATAGGTCAACCACTTCACCAGTTCAATTTGTACAGCATGGTTTTTTGAGCCATGCTATGTTAAAAAATAATATATACATAAATATAACGTAGAATAATCAGATAATTGAGGGATTGATGTGGTCAGGAAGCAGTAAAAGCACAATATTAACTAGACATAGAGAAGGTACAATGCTCATGCAGTGCAAAATATTGTTTGCAAGAGTTAGTTCATCAGAAAATAAAAAAAACAGCAATGCAACTTAATTGTAATAATCATTTAAACATTTCACAATATTAAAATTAAATCTTCATTGCAAACATAGGGTCTCCAAGCACATAGTCAAAGATAGTCTGTTTTACCATAGATGCAATCACCAGGAAAGTGAAAATTGGAATAAAGAAAAATGTCTTTCTTATATAGCATGTAATATAGAGTGCATGTAAAAGAGGTATTAGCTAAATTACATTTTAAAAAATGAGCAGATATCTTTATAAAAATGCATAAAGTTTGATAATGTCTGAGACTGACTATGATGAATTTAAAGTAGCTCTACACTTAAAAATTAAAAGAATTTTTTTGTAAATTCAATGTTGCCAACAAGAAAATAATTGGCAGCATGAATCCTAATGGTCTGCAATTGATACTTACCAATGAATAGATGCATTCTTCTAAACCATTCTGATATCGTTCGTAGAGCATCCTGGAATTATCAAAAGAAGTCCTCTGGACACACAGCAGGTAAACACATCTACCAAAGTAAAGGAGAAACAGATTGACAGAAAAAAGGAAGACAACTAATGCCAAAATTTAAAACAAGGGCCAAATTGGATACTCATAAAATTTCTGGTACTCCTCTGCACTGAACTTAACATTAGAATATCCTTCCATAATCTTCCTTGTTCTCGAAAATGCCTCATCCAATATCATCATTCCATCCTCCAAACTTAAGTTGCTAACCATGTTTGACAACTTAAAAGTTAAAACCCACACCGCAGAACAATCTGGAAAGACCAAGCCAATCGTTAACTCAGTTGAAACTTTAGATATATTCCATTTTCTCAAATTATAAATCAAACTTGTGCATACCACGATCGTCATAAAGACAATGACAACAATATAAATTTTTTTATAAAAAAACAACTCCAAAAAATTAAAAATTATCTATTCACATAGACAATCAGAATATTAAATATGGTTGGGAACATCCAATTACTGGATTGATATAAGAACAAAACCAAAATGAAATCCAACAACAAGTGAAAGAACGAAAAACCCCATTTGTCCAAGCAAACAAGTTCTTTAAAATTCAGTCTCCCAGCATAGGTCATCTCAATGATCTCATAGCCCAAACTCAATTTACAATACAATTCCATCGACGCCTTGTACACTTTAATGCCCTCACATGTAAACTCCCAAGGTACTTCAGCTGTGCTGGGGATTCTAAAGATGTGCCATGCATTTCATGAACGGATGAACCTAAGCAACCTCTTTAACCCAAACTGTAAAATAACATGCAACTCATGGAATCAAATGAAGATGAACCTAATAATGATAGCACAGATTAGAACAACCATAAATTAAACTACTCTATGCTCCATAAAGCCCGAGATCAAAAACCCAAACTCGACGCCCTACACACTTCAATGACCTCACATAAACATAATGTAGTTAAGGCCATGCATTCCATGAACCTAGTAAGCAACCTCAATGACCAAATCACTGGAAAAATAGCATGCAACACATGGAATCAAACATAAATGAATCTAACTACTGATACAATAAATACTATGACCTTCATAAAACCCAGAAATGAGGGGGGGGGGGGGGAATATATATATATATATATAAAAAAAAAAAAAAAAAAAAAGAACTAGGAATCAATTTGATCTTAAAAGAGTAAAAAAAATTAAAAAAAAAAACATCTCAAATATACTACAATCAACAGAAATTGCACTGCATCTCAGCTTACCCATTAACACAAAAATTCTTTTCACAACTAAAGTACTCAAAAAATTCTCAGAACCCTATCAAATAAAAATTAAAAAAATATATATAAAAAAAATCAAACCCACAAATTAAACCTCCAACCACCCCCCCCCCCAAAAAAAAAAAGCAGAAAATCATGATAAAAAAAAAAACTAGGGGAAAAACTAAAGTACCCAGAAAATACCCTAGAAATCTGAACAGTAGAATTTCACCAGAATTAGATAACTATGTAAAATCAAAAACCCAAAATCAAAGTAATTGGTTCTTCAATATATATTCAGAAGAAAAAAAACACAGCAAAAAAAGGATGAAAATAAAGATCAAAAACATGGGAGAAATAGTTTCACCAGAATTGGAGGCGGGTAACAGATGAATTGGAGGAATTTGATTTAAATTCCGGAATTTCGTTTGCTTTTTGGCTCCTCTTCGGGCCGGCAAAGAGAGTGGCCAAATACTGTGAATGTAGAGAGGAAAGAGACAACAAAAATGAGTGAAAAGTGGGGTTGTTGTTGGTGTAATAAACTTAGTAAATTATGCACTCCAGAAAAAACGTCGACGTTAGAGTATGCTAATGTGTTTCATTAAACCCAATGCAAAATCATTAATGTATTAGGCATGAGTAGTTGTTTTATTTTGTCGAGAGGTAAGGAGAATGTTTTATTGAGCCGAAATATTGCACAGAATAGCTAAATTTCAGATAGCGGGTTAGGGTCTTTAGGAGTGTCACGAAAGTGTATCCCATATTTCAAAGAACCCTTAATGGCCTTTGATCCCATAAGGTCACACCTTAATTTTAAACTTGTAATATGTAAATCTTTTTACTAGGTTATGTATTGCTTACATTAGGAAGTGGAAAATTAGCTACATGATTAAGTATACTCATTTAAGAGAAATAATGGTGATATGAATGCTCGAGAAATCGACAAAAGGTTTTGAGAATTCACGCGAAGAAACTTGAAAAATCAAGGAGTCCTTAATTTGGTAATTAGTGATTGCGTGGCAATCATATTCAATTGTGATTAATGGGAGGGGTGATATATGGTAAGAATATAATTGTGATATGGTCTGAAGTTATTGTGGTAAATTTAACATGGTATCAGAGTCATTTATAATTTTCAATTGATCTTATGCTTTCCCATGAGTTTTTCAAGATTGGTTTTTTATTATTGAAAAACCTACTAGCTGAATTTACATATAAGGGGCTTAGGGGATTCATAGGGAAAACACGATAGTTCTTGAGTGTGTGATTTAACCATAAACACAAGCGAGTAGGGAAGATAATCAAAAGTTATAAACACGGGGTTCGTGAGAGGAGAGATTAATCAACATACACAAAACCTTTGCAGTAGTTATGGAGAAGAGAGAATAATAATTAAAGAGTTTAAACACGCATTTGTGAGAGGAAATCTTGAACACATAAAACATTTTTATTTACACTGCCTTTTGATATGTTATTCTTTTAGTTAGGTGATTAACAATAACAATACAACAAATATCATCTAAATGTGCATTTAGTGTGTGATGTACCATGTTAAGCATTTTTTATGTTAAGTTATGGTGTAAGTGATGGTCTAAGAGTTGTAAGGGCTTTATTTTATTTTTTTTTTTAAAAAAAAGGTTGAAAAATACGATTAATAGGAAGAAAAAAAAATTGAAAGGCATGAAAACATAGATTTATTGGCAAAGATCTATAATAAACGAATAAAAGTCATTTTCACTCCTCTATACTTAAAGCCTTAAAGGTCTTCGAAATGATACACCTATTATAAAAAGAATAAATGTTAATATCCGCATGTTAGGTATCTAAGTATAGAGAGAAAAATTTATTTTGATAGCTTCAAATTTTGAAGGATTCACACTTCACACCTATCCCTCTCTCAAAGACGTTACTTAAATATCTAAAACTTGAATAAAGAGAGTTTTTCTCATACAATATGTACATATGTTTATTTATAACAAATTTAGAAGTATAGAAATTGCATATGGGCATATCTAAATTAATATTAACTCCTTTTCTTGGGTACAAAAGGAATTATTCCCAATTGATATTTGTCCCGTTTGATTTCTATGCTAAATCCAATGAAACATAATAATGCTATCCTTATGTTATGGTTGATTGGTTGATGCCCACCTCCTTTCATATAAAACCACAGGCATATACTCAAATTTTGAGTAGAATTACATATACATTATTGTCCTTTATCGCCAAAAAAAAAAAAAAAAAAAAAAATCCGAATTTTTTTACTCAGATTTCTGTACACCATCTTTTTGCAAGGAATATTAAATTTTGTCCTCACCAAGTTTTAAATACAAGCCAAAAGAAGTCAATAAAGTAATTGAATGATGATAACCTTTAGTCTGAATATGTGTCCATTCTCTAAACAATCATATATCATGCTTCTTATTAGAGGATTGAAACTAACAAGGCATGACTGAACTTCCACGCTACTGCTTCCAAAAGCACTAACAATATAGTTAATCCCCAAATTAGCCCCAGAAATTAATACTCACTAATTATATTGTGATTCCACATTTTCATGGACTATAGTTGATATAACAATAAGAAATTAACGAGGATCCATTTTTCTCATTAGATTGATGTAATAGCAAATTGAACCCAACTGTTCAAAATATGGATTCTATAAAGACTAATGATCAATGCTTCATGCCTTTGGCAAAAAAGCCAAACCAAATCAATAACGTTCATGCCGTCGACCCTATGCAAACTTAGCTTGCTGTATTATAACTTCCTACAATGACACATTATCACTATAGTCTATACAATTTGCAAAAAATTATCAACATAAAGAATAGTGTTGTAGACGAGTTCCTGTTATGAGCACAAAGCTTTGTGTCGCCAACAATACATGTGAGTTACCTTAGCTGAACTCTTAGGCTGGACTTTGATGCTGAGGGTATATGCAGGCGATCCCAGAATGAATTTTGAAGGACTTTTTCCTGTTCAATCTTATGAGGTGAATGTACACTTCACAAAAAATTGGGTACAGAAACAGTGTAGGAATTCTTATATACTAGACGAATATTGGATCTTTAGCTTCTATGTGCTGTGTTAACAAGTATTATGGCCACAAACTCTGATCAGGAATAAAGTTAACCTTTACCAAGCATACTTAGCCAACCATTCCAAGCTCTGTCAAAAAGTCAGAAAATCAGAACAGTCATAGCTTGAATTGTTGTGAGCTTTACTAGCTGAAACATTTTGAAAACCTTTGATGAATGATTCATAAATTACGGAATGCTTTTATAATACCTTAATGCAATCAGGTAGATCATCAACTTTTGTTCTAACATGAGCCTGCATAAGGTTGACATAGTGTTAGACAATTGAAAGATTAAGTTTCGTCATATAATGAAGACTAATTAATTAATAGTATATCCATCCTTTGGCAGGCTTGGAATTTTAGTTTTCCATCATTGAATTGCCCTCTGAAATTATAAATGGAATACTGCCAAATTCAAACTCCAAATCTATCATTGGCAAGCAAAAGAAAATCAAAAGACACAACTAATCTATGGGAAGAAGTGGGTTTAGGACTATATTTCAATAGGTATCAGTCATTAGAAAGTTCCAAACAAGAACAAATTGCAATGTGGGAAAATGGTACATTAGAGTTAAAGTCAAATCTCAAAGACTAATTTAACAGAAACATTAAGAGTAGTAATTACTTTAGATCATGCATTCGTCTTAGTTGTGATTAATGTCAAATCATGCATGTACCAAACATGATAGCAATGGAATCACTTAATAAAAAGCAGCTGAAATTTATGATACCTCCATGACCCTAAGGCTGAATTCATCTCGATTTGCTGCCAGGGAGACGAGGATAACTGCTGCTGCTGCCACAGTTGAGGGCCAATATCTGAGATGACTATGATCAAGCAATGACAGACCTGCCAAGTACTTGGCTTTTCTTTGCATTCCTTCATCAGCAGTCACAGCTTTAAGATAAAACCTGAGTTTTTGAGTATGGTAACCACACTTATCAGAACACACATTATACCCCATAGGCTTCAAATTCAGTTCAGCAAATCATATCCAGTGAAATTACAAGGTATTGTTTCTTAAATTATCAAATCTACCTATGCATCTAATGCAAGATCAAAAGAATAAGGGACAGTGGTATGTACCACAGGAAGTTGTAGATTGTTGGCGAGAAGCAGTGAAATTTAAGGACCTCTTGCACTACCCATTCCATGGCCACTACTTCATATCTGCTGTACACATTGCTTCCCACATAGAAAGACCTTTGCCGAACACTGGAAATCAAGTAGATTCTTAATTAATCTAAATTCTGAGAAAATATCATTGCAACCAGTGTACAACAAGATGACACTGACAGAATAATGCAATGAGGAGAAGAGCTACAAGCAGAACACTGTGAATCCACCAAGTCTAACAAACTAGGAAGCTTTAGTTGAGTTATGAACTGGAAGTTACATACATTGTATAAAACATGTTTCGTTATCATGTCTAATCTATCTGAGACCCTGACTTAGGAGACTAAGACCAATAAATCAATCGGTGAAAGCCTTGAAACTCCAATAATACAACTGGCATGATTTGAAGAACTAATATGATTAGAAGTCAGCTCAATTGCTCTAAGTCATCTTATAAATGTGATTAAACAAACAACTTTAAGATAGATTTGTGAAAACCTGTTGTAAGGCTGATTTTCTTCAATTCTGATTGCTAAGAGCACTCCCAGCAGCAGTGGCGGAGCCAGGATTTATAATTCGGGGGGACAAATTTTGGAGGTTAAAGTTTCGGCAAAAATCTCAAGAAAAAAATTGATAACCTAAATTGTTTAATATTTATTTGAAATCACATATGCCAATTATTTCTATATGGAAAAAGAGGGGTAAAAAAGTTTTATTGTATATTAAGAAAATTATCCAACAAAAATGAATAAATTTGTATTTGTAAATCCTGTTATGTAATCACATAATTGATAAATAAAAAGTCAAATAATTATCGTTAAAACAAATTGATGGTAGATATGAAGGGCCAGGGTTTGAGTTACATTCGAAAAAATAAACTCAACTTTTTCAAATCAATCATATTATTAATATGTATTTCGTTAAAACACAGTTACAAACAATTAATTAATAGTAATCTATTTATTAGAAATGTAAAAAAAAAATTGAGTTTAAGCACACTTAGTTAAAGCGATAATTAAAAACAAGAAGTAGGAAATAAGAAATAACATTAAAAATCCTAAAACAAGAAATAGGAAATAAAAAATCAAATTAAAAAGGTTGTTGAAAATTAGAGTATGTAATAAAAAAAACAAGAAGTAGGGGAAAAAAAAAACAAAAAAGCTGAAAAACAGTAGAGTAGGGAATCGAACCTAGGACCAAAACACAGCCTTACTAAGGACTCAACCACCAAACCATATTCAATATTGTGATATCTACTGTAAGTATATGTTATTTATAGCCTTTTACTGTATTTTCTTGATTTTTTTTTTTTTTAAAAAAAACTTTTTTTCCGAAAATGGGGGGACAACTGTCCCCCTTGTTCTAATGTGGCTCCGCCACTGCCCAGCAGTGAGGAGAAAAGCCCTCACGAGTAAAAATAAGGGTGTAAAAAAAATACCCGAGCATTACGTTAGTGAGGGAAAAAACCCTCACCGTTGAGAGCTATGGAAAACGCACAAGAGTTGAGGGGAAATACTCGTGAACAGTAACAAGTGGGCCCCACTCGTACACGCGTCTTTCCCTTTTTTTTCCCTTCTGGCTTGCAAAACGACGTCGTTTTGCCTTAAAGAAGGGCGAAACGACGCCGTTTTGAGGGGCAAAAAGGGAAAAAAAAATAGGGTGCAGCTGGCCTGACGCGCGTCAGACCCAGCCAATGGGGATGCGACACGCGTCAGGCTTTATCCTTCCAACCAATCAGATTTTTTTGCTTTTATTACAACGGTTATATTTTTGTAAGGTAAATATAACCGTTGTAATTATAAAAAAAAAAAAACAAAATTCACCAACGGATAGATTTTTTTTTTCTCTATAAATAGACATGCATTTTGATATATTTTGATATACTTTCAAAAAACCTATAAATACTACAAATTTCCTTCTTTTCCCAATTTCTTTGAGTTATTTTCATCATTTTTATTATTATTATTATTCGTAAAAAAAAAAAAAAAAACCTCAGTTATTATTTAGTATTATTATTATTATTATTTTTATTATTATTATAATTATTATTATTATTACTAGTAGTAGTAGTAGTAGTGTTAATTTAAAAAAAGTAGTAGTTTTATTGGTATTCTTATAATTATTATTCTTATTATTATTATTATTAATAATTTCTTTATTATTATTTCTGTTAAATTTATTAATCCTTGAAAAAAATCGTATTATTATATTGTCAAAAAAAAGTATTATTATTATTATTATTATTATTATTGTTATTATTATTATTATTATCATTATTATTATTATTATTATCATTATTATTATTATTATTATTATTATTATTATTATTATTTTGCTAATGGATCCTAACAAACCAGTTTTTTCTAATTATTTTTCTGATTTGGGTGATGATTCTGTCACTAACCCTCGATTTCAAACCTTCCTTCAACGAATAGCTACTCAATATCCACCGCAACAAACACCTCCTCAATTTCCACCACAACAAACACCTCCTCAATTTCCACCACCACATTCACCTCCTGTTTATCAAGGGAGCAATTCTCAATATGAAGATGAAATGGAAGAAAGTGTTCCAGATACTCCACAATACCCTCCACCTCCTCCAAGAGTGTCTGTCAATCAAAACCAACCACTTACAAAAGGGAGTCGAATGTGGTCTGTTGCGGAGGATGAAACTCTTATTGGTTTGTATCTGCAATTCAGTGAAGATGCAATTGTTGGTACAAACCAAAAAGCATCTGTGCTTTGGAGAAAAATTTCAGCGGCATATGATGAAGCGCAGGCTGAGAAACCTCACATTCTACCACCAAGACCTTTGAGGAGTTTGGAAAGTCGTTGGAGAAGGATGGCAGCTGATTTAATACAATGGAGTAGCTGCTATGACGAAGCAGGAAGGGTTACAGGAAGTGGCTACAACGAAGCAGATCGAATTAATAACGCCAGTAAGTTATTCTATGCTTCCTCCAAGCCTACTCAACATAATTTTAATTGTCACCATGGTTGGGAAATGGTTAAAAATGACCCAAAGTGGAGGACAAAACTTAGGTGGGCGTTGTCAAGAGAGGAAAGATTAGCTGTAGGTGATGCCGTCGAAGATGATAGTAGTGGCAGTGATAAGCGATGTAGAACCGTAGAGGAAGGTGATACACCATCCACGGGTTTCTGTTCTGGAGGTCTTCCTCAACCCGATGGTGTTAAAAAGGCAAAGGCCAAGCGTAATAAGGGAAAAGAAGTGGCTTCTGATTCTTCAACCATTGGTGAGCAAATGAAGCAGAATAATGCCTGTAGGGAAACAGAGGCACAAATACGGTTGAAGAAGTTGGATTTTGACATGGAAAGGGAGAGGAGGAAACAAAAACAAGTCGAAATTCAACAAAAACAAGTTGACATACAAGAGAGAAGGCTGAACTATGAAATGCTGCAAGATCTACTTTCAAAGGGTACTGATCTAACTCCCGATGAAGAGGCCTACAAGGAGGAATTACGTGCAATGCTATATGGTAAAAGGCACGTGTGACTTGGAGATTTGGCTTATGTTTTATTTAGTTAATGTTAACTTTATGTTTTATTCATTTAATTTGTGTTTATTTAGTTTATGTTAAATTTATGTTTATGTAATGTTAAATTTATTATTAATATTCAGTTAATTCACATGTTTTCTTAGTAATTTGAAATTGATAAAGCTGATATCTGATAAAGATACAATCTGACACGCGTCACATGTCACCTCTGCTCAAACATCAATAACACTGCACAATCACATGCTAAAGTAATGCACTGAATTGTCACCTCTGCTCAAACATCAATAACACTGCACAATCACATGCTAAAATAATGCATTGAATTGTCACCTCGAGTCACATGCAATTTCAATTCCACTTTAACTCACATGCAAACTTACCACTACCATCCAATAATGACTTTCACATTTGTAACCGTATCGTTATTTATGTTTTAATACTCATGTTTGTATTTTATTTTAGTAGAACCACTTTTATCTAGTTCGTACTTGTACCGTTATTTAACATCCCATGTGTTTGTATTACCGTTATTGAAGTTCCCATGTGACTATTTAATGTGTTCATTACAAAAATGTGCTACTAATTCAAATGTTAAATTATAAATAAAACGTAATTGAAAAATAAAAAAAATTATTAGTTATAATTAAAACGTAATTGACAAATAAATAACAATCTTATTAAGTTATAATTGAAACGTAATTGAAAAATAAATATAAAAATTATAAATTTTTATTATATTATTTTTAAACGTAATTGAAAAGTAAATATAAAACTTATAAATTGTTATTAAATTATACATTTTTATTAAATTATTTTTAAATGTAATTAAAAAATAAATTATTTTCACATATTTTAATTGTATTGGAAAATTAAATATGTAGTATAAACATTATTTCAAAATAAAGATAAAATAAAAAGATGATGTGTATTATGGTGGGGTATAGTAAATAGTGGAGGAAAAAGTGATGAGAGGTTTTTTTTTCTCCTCATTGATGTAGTGAAAAAAACATTTGATGAGAGAAATTGTATGGGAGGAGTGAGAAAGTGGGTAGAGAGAGATTGAGAGTTTTTTTTTTTTCCTCACTGCTGATAGTGGTCTAAGGTGAAGCATGCTATGCCAAGTAGTTGTAGGTTCTTCCTACTTGTGAAAAAACCTTTGCTCAAAAATCTATCAAGGAGGCGCACACCAAGAAACAAGGTTTCATTCTGGAGATCCTTTTTTTTAGGTAGCTGTTTGATCAAAGCATGAATTGTAGTCAGTTAACCATCTCCTTTATTTTTGGAGTAGAAGGCAAATTTCAAGCAATCTGTCTGAGAAAAGCAAGGCTGCAGGTAAATTGCCATTAAGAAAGGGCTATATTCACCAGACTAAAGGTTCTAGCCTTAAAGGCAATGTTGATAGCTATCCTAATCCAGACATAATTGGAAATCTTAAGCAAAATCTTGCGTAAATGGCTAAATGCATTGCATCTAGTTGTGAGAAAAAGTGCAATGATCAAAGTAAATACTGAGTAAAAAGCCTTTTACGATAATAATCATTAATCAGCAAAGTAGTAATTCAGTTGTCCCAATAAGTACCCCTTCTTTTAGTTCATAGGATTATTTAATTTACTTCCTAATGAATAGCAATCCATGCAGTCATATACTGTGTCTTCGATTTAAATGGACCCTTTCATGTTCATGTTCCTTATGGCTTCTCTACATGCATTTAAAAAAAAAAAAAAATGTTCTTACAGTCCCTCTAATATGAACACGATTCCAATTTGTGCTTTCATACTTGAGAACACATCACGATAATTTTGAAGTTTGATTAATCACATCTCCTAGTAGTAATATAATATAGTACGAAGTATATGTTTCAAAAATCGTTTAAAAGTGTCGAGGGAACTTATCAATTAATAATCATACTTGAAAACAACACATAATCAAAATTTACATATTTTACCTCTAGCAATAAAACTACGAGTAATTATTACTTCCAAAATAAAATAAAATCAAATAAATATAAGGAAAGAGATCTAGTTGAGCCACTGTTGAGGACATTATTGTGCACAACATTTCGGCATTCCTACACGCGAAAACTCGTTTTGACAGTGTGTCTTGAGTCTGAAGGTTACACCATCAGGAACATATAGAAAAATTATACCTTACGTGGCAAAATATTATTGGGCAGGTTCTTTAAATTATATAGTAACAACCGTGACACACTAATTGTTATTCTCTCTAACGACAGTTACCGTTTGCAAAAATAAAAAACCAAAATTAAATTTAAAAAAATAAAAAGCTAAAAAACCAGAAAACAACTTCTGCTGACGTCAAAGAGTTTATCGAACCGTAAATTCAAGCTACAACAATGGGGATTCGAAAAAGAAATTAACTCACCTCGATAATCCAATTAACCATCAATAATCGTTGCTCAACGATTAATTCTCCGAAATCAGTCGCAAAATCATACTCTTCAACGTAGTCTTTCGCTTTCACCGCTTGATTTCTCTCTCTACTTCTCAACATTCTGTAGCTCTCTTCATCTTCCTCAACTTCAAATTTCCAGTACTACGAACAAACACACAATTGATCATCAATTAATTAATAATTAAATCAATTATTTAGCAAAATGCAGCATTAATTAATTCATAAATTAAATGATTAGTTAAATTAATACTTACAGCAAGTTCATCAGAATATTGATCATCGAAGAGAGAAGTAACTTCGCAATCAGGAGAATCAGAGCTCATTTGTAAGAATTGCTTGTAATACTCTTTGAAGAGGGAGAAACAAGGAGAAGACGAATCATCACCGGATTTCTCAGAGAATTGGCTGCCGGAATTCAACCACAATGAAGGAGTATATTCATCAGTGAAAATATCAAACTCTGATTCGCCATTTCCGGAATGAATCTCCGATTCTAGCTCGGAGAAGTTCGTTGCCGAAGAAACTTCGTAATCATCATATGAAAATTGCTCAGAGCAAGCCAAATCAGAGCCAATTGATCCAATCAGAAAATCACCAGAATCACAGGAATAATGCTTCACATTCCTCTGCTCAACAGTCACCGTCGTATTCGCCGGAGAATCCACCGCCGCCGTGGACTCCGTCGGAGCGACGCCATTTCGCTTCGACTCCGCAACAACAGAGCATGATTCAACACAGGAATTCTCCGACACAGAAACCTCAGCAACTTCCTTCTTCAACGGTTTCGGAATCACTTCATTTCCAGCCTGAAACGCACCGTTTGGAGGTAAAACAACCGATTCAAGCGTCGTATTGCAGGAAACCTCATCACAAGTAGAATTAAAGGAGAAATTGCGATTAAGCTTAAGAGAATCAGCAGCATTTGAAATGATGAGAACTGGAGAAATGTGAGCTCGTTTACGACGTGGAATCTTCGATCGAACATTCTTCGCCAAAAATTCAGCAGCAGAATCAGCAACAATAGCAGTATCAGTAGATTGTAGAGTACTTTTTCGCTTCATTTTTGAATTTGGCAATGGCAGTTTTGAGTAGTTTGTTGTTGTTGATGTTTGTCAGAGAATGAAGTTAGGGTTGAGATTTGCAGAGAATCAGAGAAAGAAGAGAGAGAAAGTAAAACTGCATGAAGAAGAAGGAGGAGGAGGAGGAGGAGGAGAACGTGTGTTGTGCGGTTATAAAGGTTGAGGGGGGAAAAGGAGAGAGAGAAAACTGTTTGTAATGGTTATAATGGGTTAGTGGACAGTGGTCCACTTTCTATAAGTGTCAACGTACTTTCTCTCTCTATGTTTTAATCAATTACTTCTTTTTTTTAAAATAATTATTTTATAATTAAGTTATTAGAAATAATTCGAGTAATTTATTTTTTATTTTTTTATTTATTTTTTAACATTGAACAGAGGTACATATACTTAGGGATGGTTTAATTGATCTTATTTTTGCTTATCTGATATGATTTGAATATGATATTATATGATCTGATCTGGGTTTGATTTAATTGCTTGCTTTAACCAATCTTTGACCTGGGTTTTGTTAGATTCGTAATAATAAGTATTTTATTAATTTGTAATTTTCATTATTTTAATAAATTTTAATTACAAAATTAAAGATGTTTAGCGTTAAAAATCACATACAAAGTAAAAAAAAACTTATTTTTCTAATCTAATGTCAAAACTTATTTTTTCTGATTTAATCTAAAATACCTAAAAATAAGATAAATTATACATGACCTTATTAAATAAAAAAACATTGAACAAATATATATATTTATGAGGTTTCCTGTAATATGAGTAGAGCAACTAATTGTAATATTAAGGGTTTCATGTTACACAACGCACAATTTTAATATTAATATGCTCAATCATTAATTCATTATAAAGATTTCAATACCATTTTAAGAGCAACTAATCCAAATCTAAAAGTATTAATTTAATTTCATGTGTAGGCTTTGTTTTTTGAATTTGTCTGTATTTTTTTTTACCTTGACTGAAAGTATCATCAATTTTGTAAATTACTCGTACAAGTTGATATAGGATTTTTGTTTGGTAGGAATATTAATAAATGGACGATAAAATATGTTTTTTCAGAAGGGCAGTATATAAGTGGGTTCTTCTCTCAAAAAAGATGCAAAAGTGGTGATAATACTACGGATACTACCTACGGATTACACCAGTTAAATAACTCCTTCCACTGCTTCATTCCACCAACAAACAGCAAGCGGCATCACCTCAGGTTGATTTCAACGACTAGATGAACTGATGTAGACTGGTGATGCCATAGTCTATAGGCCAAGATAGATTGCAAAGTGTATTCGTATCACACAACCGATCTGTTATTGTATCGCGCAGCCAAAAAGAGTTCACTGCATTATATATCACCTGCATATACAACCAGTAAAAAGCACATCAGCTGCTGAGCTACATCGTATTCATAGCATGTACTCATACCTATTTATATATCAAGATTAACCTAGCATTAGAAAGCAAAAGGGTGAGATTTCCTTCTAATTTAGTAATGCATCTCAAACTCATAAGCACCTCACATTTCCTACTGTAGAAGCATAGGTAAGAATATCTTTTTTTTGGTGTTTAGAGGGCCACAAGGGCGGGTAATGAGAATCGATCCCAAGATCCCTTGAAATCGAGAGGAAACTCAACCACTTGAGCTATCCCTCACTCTCACATAGGTAAGAAATTTTGAGCATTGCATCCTGCCTCAAACAAATTTCGAGGATGTTACATCATATTTCAGATAACTTAAGCGTAAACCAACTTCACATATTATAGCAAATCGCTCACGTGACGCATCACACTAAGATTATATCAATGAAGATTACAAGTCTGACGAAAAGGCTGAAACCTAAAACAACACACACAGGTTATGTTTTTTCTTTTTTCATGCTGAAGTATGGAACAAGACAGCGTTAGGTATAAATACGAAGTATAAGCCTAGGGATTTATGCATAATTTATTTTCGAGTATTTTTAAAGGTAATACTTTACTTTCACTAACTGGTTAAACAAGTCTATATGCCACATGTCACTCCCTTTAGGTGATTTATTCCAGTCATACATATACAATTAAAAATATGCAATGTGCTTAATACAAGAATTTGATCTCGTGATCTCAAGTTTATACATTAAAGTTTTACCCACTAAACTATTCAATAATTGATGTTATCTTCTTAACGTAAAATATTAATAGTTAAACATTTAAGAGATAAATCACCTCAGAGCATCGCCCGGGCCTAAAAACTAGTTAATCATTTAAAATACGCATCAACAGGACCTTACTCAGCAGCACCAGATTGTGTCGTTTGCATTTCTTGTGGATTTCTTTTAGACTTGTGCTTTGACTTCTTCTCTCTCTTCTTACTGCTGAAATCACAATTCATCATTATTAGATATAGAAAAAGAAGCTTGAAACGCAATGGAAATTGAAATTTAAATTGACAATAGAAGGAGCACAAGTTACTCGTCACGAGATCCAGAATCTTGACATAATTTCAGCTTCTTAGCAACTCGTTTCATCTCGTTATTATCACCCAATTTGATTGTCTTTATCTGCATTATTTTGTGGATGGAGAAAAAGAAAGGTGCTCATTATCATTATTTGTCAACACAAGTTACACTGCTAATAATAAGTAATGCAATGGAAAGCAAACATTTTGAACATTGAGAAACTATATCCACTTGTAACAGACTAGCCACTAGCAGGTGCATCCAAAAAAAAAATTGACAATGATCAGAAAATATTTCCCATAGAAGAAATATAACTAGCCTTGACAAGGTATAAAGATTGTGACACTAAGTGTTGATTAACAATATACAGTTAATTGACATACTAACAGATTGTGACCAATTTCTGCTTCAATGTTCCAGTTCACAAGTTGTATTAGTCAAAATTAGTATTTTCATCTCTTAGAATCATCTGTATTGTGTTGGTTCCTTACATGTTTCTCCTAACATCTCTCATGCACTGACTAGTGTTTGACACATACTATGCCTCTCAATCGTCCATAGCATTACAGATATAACATTTGACCAATCAAATTAAGGTGTCATCAATGTTGTCAATCACGATGCATTATCAAAATATAAAGCCTTGCAAAGAGTACTACGTCAGTTATTTGTGAACAAAAAAATGGCTGAACTGCTGAACCCTCAACCAAAATTTGATGGAGGGACTGTTATATTTATATTTCAGAAGGTGAATTATCATAAGTACCAGAAATTCTATAGCATTGAGGCCCTGGTCCAACTCTGAAATAGAGTGCTCAGATTGTTGGCGTGAGAGAATGCTGTTAAGATATCTGCATAACAAGTGTATTTCACAGCTAGTTACAATCAGTGAAAAGTCAAATAAACCAAGCAGCAAAACATGCAGCGTTATATTTAACCAAGCAGCAAAATATGCAGCGTTATATTTTGAAAAAATAAGCAGTCTAATTACCTGTCAAAATCAAGAACTAAGAGCTCAGAATTTGCCCTACGGAGTACAGCCAATGCCAACTGCAAAGAAACATTGTATGCAAGATCAAAATTCAGACAAGTAATTCTGAAAGAAGATTTGAACACGCAAACCTAATCATAGATTTATAGTGAGACCACTGCAAACTATAGCATGAACTCCTCATGAGCTACAAATATTCAATCCTTCACTGTCCATTGTTCAACATTCTTTAGCCTTTTTTTAAGGTAGTCCTGGTTGAACCAAGTCATGCGGTTGAACTTGGGGAGGGAAATGTACCAAAGTCCAGATTAACCGGGTTGGATAAAGGGTTTCATTGTAGACCACCCTCACCCCTGTAGCACTCAACCCATCTCTCATTTATGGACCAATGTTATAAGCATGAAAATTCAAGACATCAAGCTCTCTTTAGCAATAACATAATGACATGATTACATGAACTAGAAGGAACAATTACAGTGTGTTTGGATAAAGAAAGGGGAAGGAAAAGAAGGGGAGGGAGGAGAAGAGGAGGGGAGGAAAGAATGGTGAGTTTTCCTTCAAATCTCTCCATTGTTGGAGGGATCAATTTCCTACAATTTAATCCCTCCATTTCTCTCCCCTCCAATTCCCTCCCTTCCTCATTTGTTATCCAAATGAAAGATACCCCATCTCTCCATTTCTCTTCCCTTCCTTTCCCTCCATATCCTTCAATCCAAACACACCATTAGGAAAGTGTCATGGGAAAAAGTAGCAGAGATTAGAGACAATGAATAAGAAAGGAAAATAGATTTATGTTTAACATTCTGTTTAAGGAACTAAAGGAAGATCAGTAATCAATGGTCAAATTCAACATTCAATGGTCAGAGCAGAGTTAACAAATGAATTATTAGAGGGTCTCATGTACAGAGCTAAAAGACTGAAGATATAAACTGTCATTGACCCTAGGTTTTCCAATGATGTAATGGATTAACAAGTCTGATTGCTGTATCTTTAGAGCCATAAAATGTCAGAGCTCAATGACCGCTTGTAAATACTTTTATTGTTAGCCTTCCACCAAATTGCTATACGAAACAAAAATTTCATCCTGCAATCTACATATAATTCTAGTACCCCAAAACAGCACTGCTTCCTTAATACATCAGTTCATCCAACTTCCCTAAAGTATCCAGCAATTAAAGCACTAGTTGCTATAGCAAGACTGGTATAGCAGACACCTATCCTTGCAAAAAACTCCAGTTATCAACTTAGAAACAACAACAAAGAAACTGTAATAACATCTTCTACCAAAGCTTTAAGAGCTAGAACTATGTGAGTCCATACCATTTGTAGTTGCATTGTGCCTATGGGAAAGGAGCACAAATATTGTTATGTTTATGGTTATCTACAAAATAATTTCTAATATTTAAACCCCTTCAGAAAGAGAAAAGTCTGACAGGCCTGATACTTGCACAAACATATGAAGCACAAAAATCAGGTCAGCCACTAAAGTAAATATACATAAGCTGGCACAAGAAAATGTAATTGGAAGATTCAGGTGGGTACAGAAATAACACAAGGATGGCTCTGTAAAATTCAGTTGAGTTGGACTGAGAGTTTAATTTATTAATAGGAAGGCGTCTTTAAAAATACCACCACTAAGAAATCAAAACTGGCATCATAACATCCCAATTATTAAGTTCATCTGTTGATCAAGTTGCTATGAATTGGCTCAGATTAGTGACCAATACGAAGATATTTAGGACTGAACAAGAGATTAAGGGGAGGAAGAAGAGAGATTAAAGAAAAACAATTAAAGATATGACTGAATAAATGTTAAACAAGGTGCTAATCACCAATTACAGCCTCGCCAATCTTTCGAGAGGATGGCACTCTATCAAAACTAGAACTACTCACTGATCACAGTATTCAACATTTCTGATTATCTCTCTCTAATTAGCTCTATTTATAGAGCATTTCCCTAACAAACTAACTTCTCCTTCAAGTTACTAAAAGCTTTATTATAACTCTACTCCCTAAATTGCCCCTCTTCCCTAACATCAGTTCATTGCACAAATCTCTTTTGAATCAACATGGGCAAAGCATCAAATCTAGCACCATAAAACGCAATCCTAAATCTTGTTTTGAGGAAATCTAATTGTTAGTCACATATATATCCTTCTCGATAAAACTTATCCACACTTTCTCTTCAAGTAAATAAAATGTGAAAAGGAAAGATAGAATGATTTTGAACATTGCAGGCCGTGGAGCTCACTGCCTTCTGCTGCTGCCCTTGATTGACTTAAGGCAAAAATACTCATAACAAAAATGACCATGGGGCAAAACACTGTTAACTGTGTAATCTTTGCTCCAAAAACTCAAAGTTTAATCAATGTACACATACTGTTTTAGAATTTTTTTGAGATTTAGTAGTTATACTGTGGAGGGGATGAAGTTTGGGATGGGGTAGGTTTTGGGGTTAATTATTATCACCATTAACAAGTGACATTTCTCAGCAACATCCACAGAGAAAGCTTTATCATAAAGTTCATGATGGCCCCCTAAAAGACCTAGGCAAGCCTCCTCAGCATGAGTACTCTCATCCAACCTTTAAATCTTTTCAGATAAAGAATACCTGGCCTGGAGGAAATAAAAGCGGTGCATCTGTAAGCATTACTTTATCAGCTTCAAAGACCGCTCTCTGATTTAACTCCTGGAAATATAATAGGATACCAAAATAGTGAATAAGCAACACCACTATCAAGATTAAATATACATGTAAAATGTAAAGTAGATAAAAAAAAATTCTAATTTTAAACAAGAATATATGAAGCAACAGAAATAACACATATACTGATACAGATATCATTGTATAGATAAATCTCATACAGTCTCAGGATCGGGTCTTATAAATCATGGCAGCAATCAATCACAATAGAGGTTTAGCTACAGCGTTATTTAGGATCCTATTAGCTTAATGAGTACAAATGCATCGCTTTTATCACCTAACATGAATTAGGGGTTTATTGGCTTGCCTGAAAAGTTACAAACGGTATATCATCCTAAAACACACTGAGCGAAAGTAAAATGGAAAATCAATTTTCAAGTTCATCATAATCATCTCCTCCATGGCTCCAGATATTATCATTAGTTGAAAGTTGTGCTTCCTCTATCACATTCAACCTTTTCAAACAATCAACAATATGATTCACTTTTGAGAAGTGAAATTAATCCTTTTAACCCATTGAGATAACATCAAATTTATATGCGTATGGGCGCAAAGCACCACATTAAAAATTATGATCTATCCTTAAATAGAGGAGGTATACAGTTAAACCATTCAGAGAATATAAATACAAAAGGATCAGGCGCAAAATACCACATCAAACCACTATGATACAGTCTGTCATGTAAAAAGTTTGACAACCACAGAAAAATATATTGCAAGACATATTTCAGTCTATGTCAATAAAAAGCTAAAAAGGAAGCAAAAGAATAATGTGTCTCAAAATAATAATGATGTATACCTGCAACATGTCAACTTCGCCATTTGTCGCATAGCAGAAGTCCTAGAAAATCATAATTGAACAGACCAATAGTTCATTAATGGTCAATGAAAGTGCAAAACCAAAAATTATACAGGAGCATATGCAAATTGAAGATACACTATACCCAATAGATTGGGATTTACCATACCTCCATATCATTAATAAAACCTTCAATTGATCGGTATGGTGTATATACAATTAGATCAAATCCCAGACTCTGCAAAATTACATAATTATAAATGTCAAGGAAAACAAAAAAGGATATTATACGGGATATCAATTCACTAATTACATTCTCTATACTGTCTGAAGTGTTTTCTAGAAATGGTTTTGCATATCCCTATGCTTTGCAGATACCTCACCACTTAGCCCAACTGACTATTTACTGTGTCCTTTCAAGTTATGAGATGACAATGTAAGTTAGTTTAGCAATTTTGAGTAAGAGTTTTTTTAGTTTAAATAAATTAAACAAAACTCTCATCAACTTCTCCCCCACTCCCACAAAACATATCCCATGGCTAGCCACACCACACAGGCACACACTATCATGAAAATTCTACTGGTACAACAAAAGAAGACCACTGTGGCTCATGACAAGGGGGGGGGGGGGGGAATTACTGCAGACTGACCCAATTCCTAGCAAAGATCATGATTTCTTAGCAGGGCCCCAAATGGCGTTTTTTTTTTTTTTTTTTTTTTTTTTAATGGGTCAATTTGATATATCTTTTAGTACAGATTATCTCAGTACAGATTATCTCTGTATTTGACATATATTCTTAGTCTATGTTAATCGGACACTGCAAATATCGCGAAGTGTCTGTGTCGACACAACACTTCACGGACACGGACACATGACACGTGTCCGATCCTTCACTTTGTACTCGGACACTTCCATTAAGAGAGGAGAGGAAAAAAGAGAAGAAACATGAAAGAAAAACATATCTTGTTCGAAAACCACCATTAATATAGAGAAGATGGAGAGAAGAAGATTGCCATTTATAAGGAGAATTTACCGAGAAAAGAATTATAATAAAAAAAAATAGGGGTAGACATAATGAAAAATTTAAAGCTTTTGTAATATATAATTTATTTATATAAATTTAAATGACGTATTGACGTGTCCCCGTACCCGTGTTCAAATATTGGACAGAGTCCCCGTGTCCTAAAATTTTGGAACTTGCCAGATCGGAAACTTGGACATGTGTTCCGACACCCGTTCCCGAGTCCATGTAACATAGTTCTTAGTTTTAGTGGAGATGGAATAGTAAACGGAGAAAGAAGGTATGCTAATGAAGGTGAAGGAGAGACAAGATTGTGTGGGGAGTGGTGTAAGTTTCATTCAGGAAATTTCCATCAATGTGATCGAAAAGAGTAGTAATATGTATCTCTGTGACTGAAATCACGCAGTGAAGTATGGTCAAGGTATAGGGGCACCAATACAGTTCATATCTACAGAAAATATGCAAGAGTACATGGGAAGGGTGAGATCATTGAAAGAGCAGTTTTAACAAAAAAAAATAAATAAATTATATTTGTACCTGAAGGACTAGCAACTCATTATCTAGAATCATCCGATGATCCTGCTGGATACCCTTGCCAAGCTCCTCAGCTGAGACATGATTCTCCTCTATCTTACAAGCTAAATATATACATGTTAACCTGCATATTTGCATACCACAATACTTAATTATATCACTATTGAAGCAGATATAAATCTCCAAATTAGAAAAGTACAGAAGACAGTGCTCATTCACATATTTACCACTGGTTCCTAGTAATCTCCAACACATCCTAAATCAATACCAAAAAAAGGGTGGGAGGTACAAGGTAACTAAAAGTGGTGAAGGATAATATTCTAATTGTATATATTAGCCAAATACTGAGATAATATACACAATAATACAATAGATAACTTACATAACAGATTTTGGATGATGCTCCATGACTGACCAGCAGAGATAAAACCTCTTATAATATGTAAGTGCAGTAGCCTGAAAAAAAAAAAAAGCATAGATGATCATAGATGATTACAATAAAGAATTTCCACTTTGGTAGAATGACTTTGATTCACATCCACATAATAAATATGCAAACCTGGATTTTATGAGGAAATTTGAAGGCCCCACATACTTCTTGAATCTTGGTTTCATAATACACATGGAACATCTTTTCTTCTTCCACACTAAGTGGTTTCGCACGAGACTGCTTAACACCTTTGTTGAGAAACATAAAATGCAGTCATAAACATGGAAGTTTACTAAACAAGTATTGATGCGATCCAAACTCATAATAGAAGCATTAGCATTACCATCTGTATCCTTTTGGCTTCTAGGATGTGATAAAGACCCATCAGCATCAATAGCCAAATTTGTTGTACCATACTTCATGATGCATAAGATTAGTACATCAATTAGTACTATACTACTATATAAGATAAATACATAATGAAATCTAGTAAGAATGAACAGGAATCTCCTTGAACTGCAATTTCTCCACATTTAGAAGCATCATACAACCTCAAACACAGATGGATAAAACGAGGTCGTGTAATGCTCTTAACATCAACCCAATACCCCTTGCATATGACCAACGATTATTAACGAACTACTATCTCCGTCTAAATTAAGTTGTCACATCTACATCTACACCTAGAATATCTACACCTAGAATATAAAAACCCTAACCCAATGGTAAATACGTCCCTCTTACTAATTTCTTCCATGTTTTTTGCAAAAAAAAACCCAAGAAAACGAGTAATGAAAATCACTAAACCTTGTTAAATTGTTTCCTTGCATCTCTGACTGTAATTTTGCATAGACTATTTTCTAAGCTAATTGTTAATGTAACTTTCTTCTCTGAAAATATGAACAGTCAATACTAAGTCCAACTTAGGAAAATCTAGGCCACTGAATGTGGTAGTCTTTAATTTGTGACTTTCATCAATCAAATTATATTTCTCCTTCGTGTTTGCCTTCCCTCATTCTTCTCCACCATCTTTCTCCCCTACTTCTAACGATACAACCCGTGCAGTATTACACGGGTCAAAAGACTAGTTACTAGTTCAAATCACACTATCAACACGACTATTAATTCTAGACGGCGGAAGTGCCAAATACAATTACAATCATGGCAATTCACTATAGTTCGTACTACATCAATTTGATACAACAATCAACGTCCATGAAAACCAAATAATCATCAATAATGCTAACAATTACACAAAAAGAAATTGATAAATAATCCAAAGATTAAAACTTTACCTTCTCTAATGATTCTATAGCTCTTTGATTATGAGCTATGTACTTGTCATTCAACTCTTGTTGAGTGAAAATCCACTTGGCTCTTTGAGTAGACGTTTGGAAATCCGCCATTACTACGAATTTTTATTATCGGCGCTTTGAATTCCGACAAAACTGTGACAGAAAACTCAATAGTGAGTTTAAAAAATTGAATTGGAAATTGAAAAAACCCTATATTAAAATAAAAAGGGAAACGCAGAAAACCAATTAAGGAAGAAAAAGAGAACGAACTTGAGAAAAAAGCGTCGGGAAATGTCGCACGGGGAACGCCGGAAGGAAGAAAGAGAGATGGTGAAAGACTGAACGCGAGATGGCTGAGGCTAACTATACGTTTATTTTTACGGAATTTTACTACCGCACCTAACTCTATATCACGGTAAATTTTTATTTTTTTTTTCTTTTCAATCTAAAATATCTAATATATATAAATAAAGTACGCATGTTTGGAGAGCATTTGGAGCGCTTATTTTGATAGTGTTTATGATAAGAAATAAAAATTAATCTTTAATTAAAATTAAATTAAAATTTGTAATATTTACCATTATAAATTGACGCATCATATGACACCAACAAAATTTCGTATCAATACAAAACCAAACCAAGCAAATTTTGTGTCATTAATTTTGTGTCAGTTTTATTAGGTCATCAATGGTTGGGTAATTCTTAACCTAATTTTTAAAACCCGTATTTAAATGTATATTTGTGATTATTGCTTAAATTGTGTTAATTTGGGATACTTAATGAATTATATGTTTATGTTTTGTTTACATGCAGATCTAATTTAATTAGAGAATTATATTCGAGCAAAAAATTTTGGAATATCAAAGTGCGAGTTTCTCGTTTGATGATCCTATTGGATGAGGAGGTATTATATCTTTATAAATCGTTTACATTTATTAAATCTTTCAATGAACCTTTTAGTTTTTATCAATTAATTTATGATTAGAACAAATTTTTTGTGATTTAGGTAGCTTAATTAAGTCATAAAATTAACTTAATTTTTTATTTTTAATTACAGGGTGATTACGCTCATGCCTCAATTAAATTCATTAGATGGAAGCCTGTGCGTTGCACAGTTTTTTCATCTATTTTTAATTATTTGATTTATTGAATTTAATAATTTTAGACAACAAAAGTTTAATATTTTTTTTACTGTAATTTATAATGAATTTATTAAATATAAATAAATTGTAAATATGATATTTTTTCCGTTATATAAAATCTTTAATGTGAAATGATAAATTTTTAATAATTTAAATTCTAAATCATTATTCATTGTTTTACCATATCTTTTATTTCGATAGAATCACCAACCTCGTCCACAACCAACCTACTACATCAATGGATAAAAATGTTAGCCAAACTGAAATTGATATAAATTAAATCTTTACATTTATATAAAATAAATCAATATATTTACCAATAATTGAAAATTTGTTGCGATATAAAATCAAATCTATGCATTGGAATTTTTTCATCATCTCTAAAAATAACCAAAGCCATCCATATATTAAGTATGTAACATCTAATCGTATGCCATTACATAAATAAATAATTGTTAAGTATCCTAAATAAATACAATGTAACTAATAATAACAAATATAAATTTAAACATAAGATTTTAAAAATTACTCGGACATTGATGATCTTAAACTAACACAAAGTTACTAACACAAAATTCGCTTGATGGGGTATTGTATTGATACGAAATTTTGTTTGTGTCGTATGATGTGTTAGATCTGCATGTAAAAAAATATTTAGTAAATAAAACATAAACATATAATCATTGAGCATCCCAAATTAATACAATGTAAGTAATAATTAGAAATGCTAATTTAAACATAGGATTTTAAATATTAAGCTAAAAATTACCCGACCATTGATGACCAAAAATTAAAACAAAATTACTAACACAAAATTCGCTTGATGGGGATTGATACAAAATTTTGTTTGTGTCGTATGATTTGTCAATATATAATGGTAGGTATCAGTATCACAAATTTTAATTTAATTATAATTAACGAACAATTTGTATTTCTTATCATAAATACTATCAAAATTTATCTTATATGATAGGTTTCAAACTTTATTATAAGCGTTTATCATTTAAATATTTTTTAGTATATTTTTTTTTTTGGATTTCTTATACTCATAGTATTGAATTAATAAATTTATCTTTTCCTATATTTTTACTTTATTTTTTAGATTAAAATAATTTAATTCGTGGATTATAATCTACGTGGCATTAAAATTTTAGATATATCAAATCTAATTCGTTACTTTTATCTAGGTGGCGATGCACGGTTTTTTTTTTCCATACATCACTACTAGAAAACACCTCATTTACAACGGAAAATATCCGTTGGAACACCTTCTAAATCCGTCGGAAAAGGCAGTTCCCACGGAATTCCGTCGGAACACGTTGTCGGAAACCACTTCGTAGGAATTTCGGCTAATACCGAGGGATTTTCTGTCGGAAATTACCATGCCGACGGATTTTAAATTGTCGGAGCCTATGTTTGACCTGAATGGGAAGTCCGTCGCAAGCTTCCGACGGACGGTATTTCGTCGGAAGCTAAGCACCTTCCGACGAATATTTCCGTAGGAAGAAGGCAACTTTCCTACGGAAATTTCCGTCGCAAGCTTCCTACGGACATATTTCAGTCGCAAATTACCGACGGAAATTCCGTCGGAAACTTATACCCATTGCGACGGATTTTAATTCCGTAGGAACTTTGCGACGGAAATAACGACGGAACTATTTCGAGTTTGACTATTTTCCTATGGCACATTGCTACCCTTTGATACCTGTACTTCCTGCTTCTTATATTAACGACAGATTAAAATTAATGGTTTTTGTGCAAAAATAATTATATATATATATACTAATTCCAATCTGTACAACCAAGTAATGTAATCTAAAATTAGTACTAATTAACACTACATTAATTAAAGCTAAGCAACTGCGGGAGTGCCCTGGCCTGCTCCACCACTACCCGGGTCGTCATCCCTGGGATCTCGAAATGGAGGTCGCACGGTGGAACAAGGGTCATTTTGGTAACGACTCATCATCCTCTCTTCCAACCTCTTCTCCATTTCTTCCATTTGGGCTCTTACTGAGGCTTGAACTCGGGCTTGCATCTCGAGTTCCATTTCTTCCCGAAGAGCCTGCACCCCGGTTTCCATCTAATCCTGCATCTGAGAAACAAGGGAGGGCGTGTATTGAATGGAAGATGTGGAAAGTCGACCCATCTGGCTGCCATAGTAAAGGTCAGCACTTCCGCCAAGTCCCTTCACACGTCCTTTTTTGTTCCGACCACCCACTGTCTCCTAGTACAGCTCATTCGAACTCTTCTGAGTCCTTTGAGTGCTAGCCTCCTTAACCCTCTTTCGGTAGGCCTCCTACAATATAAACATATGAAAAGGAACAAACGAGTTAGTAAGTTATATAAATAAGCTTTGGGTACCATATTCATGAAAAAATAAACCAAGTAACATGACATAGGTGACTTCTACTTAGCCCAATTACTTCATTTCTTAGGAAATGAGCTCTTTTTTTCTCATTCCATATCAATTAACATAGTTTTAGGTCTAAAGTGCTTGAAATGACAAAAAAAAAAAACAAAGTAACAAAGTTTTACGTACAATATTCATGAAAAACGCACCAAGTATGGCCTAAGTGACTTCTATGTTGCCCATTTTCTCTATTTATTAGCTAATGTTCTCATTTCTCATCCAAGCATGTCAAATGTACATAGTTTTAGGTGTGTAGGGCTTGAAATGCCAAAAAAAAAAAAACACATTAAGTTTTGGGAGCCATATTGATGAAAAACGCACCAAGTATGGCCTAAGTAACTTCTATGTTGCCCATTTTCTCTATTTTTTAGCTAATGTTCTCATTTCTCATCCAAACATGTCAAATGTAAATAGTTTTAGGTGTATAGGGCTTGAAATGCCAAAAAAAAACAACACATTAAGTTTTGGGAGTCATATTGATGAAAAACGCACCAAGTATGGCCTAAGTGACTTTTATGCCATTTTCTCTATTTCTTAGCTAATGTTCTCATTTCTCATTCAAACATGTCAAATGTACATAGTTTTAGTTGTCTAGGGCTTGAAATTCCAAGAAAAAACAACACATCAAGTTTTGGGAGCCATATTGATGAAAAACGCACCAAGTATGGCCTAAGTGACTTCTATGTTGCCCATTTTCTCTATTTCTTAGCTAATGTTCTCATTTCTCATCCAAACATGTCAAATGTACATAGTTTTAGGAGTCTAGGGCTTGAAATGCCAAGAAAAAACAACACATTAAGTTTTGGGAGCCTTAATGATGAAAAACGCACTAAGTATGGCCTAAGTGACATCTATGTTGCCCATTCTAAATATTTCTTAGCTAATGTTCTCATTTCTTATCCAAACATGTCAAATGTACATATTTTAAGGGGTACATGCCTTGAAATCACAAAAACCAACAAGTCCCTAAGGTTTGGGATGCATTTGGAGCCAAATTGAACCAACTATTGCGTATATGACCTATTCTTTGCCCATTTTCTTCATTTTCGGCCAAATGAACTATTTCTTTCACTAAAAATGTCAATTATGGTTATTCTAAGGGGTACATGCCTTGTAATCACAAAAAACAACAAGTCCGTAAGGTTTGGGACGCATTTGGAGCCAAATTGAACCAACTATTGCCTATATGACCTATTCTTTGCCCATTTTCTTCATTTTCGACCAAATGAACTATTTATTTCTCTAAACATGTCAATTATGGGTATTCTAAGGGGTACATGCCTTGAAATCACAAAAAACAACAAGTTACTAAGGTTTGGGACGCATTTGGAGCCAAATTGAACCAACTATTGCCTATATGACCTATTTTTTGCCCATTTTCTTCATTTTCGACCAAATGAACTATTTCTTTCTCTAAACATTTCAATTATGAGTATTCTAAGGAGTACATGCCTTGAAATCACATAAAACAACAAGTCCCTAAGGTTTCAGTACCATATTCATGAATAATGAACCAATAAACTAAGATTAGGGAATTTGTTACCGCAATTTCCTGAGCTGTGGGGTTTACTGCCACTGAGCCTTTCCCAGGCAGCTCCTTGAAGTGTGTATTCAGAAACATCTCAGGAGCTGTTGGCAGCTGGTCGTTGTTCTTCGCTGCCTTTGATACAAAAAAATAGGAATAAACGTTAAACAAGTCACACCCTTGTTACATTGAAATACACAAAAATGCCTTCTAATATAAGATCTTTTTAAATAAACTTACCATCCTTTTTGCATGTTGGACAGCTGACAACAAACCCTGAAAGTGGGTCCCTCGGACGGGATTTTCCATAGAACCGCCCCTTCCGTTCTTCTTGTTTTGCGCCGACCTCTCCTTGTAAGTTGGATCCGATGCAACAATGTCCATCATCTCCTTGTGGATCTCCTCACTCAGCCAACTTGGCTTGGCGCCATTCATCTTGTGC